CTTACCTGATCATTAAGGCAAGTTTTGATTCCTTCTGCTTTTGATTTCTGTGCTTCTGTAAAGCAAGAGGTCAGGGGGAGCGCCTTTCCCCCAAAACAAAGTTTATGATTGGTCTGATCAGCTAAATCTGTGTGAGTCTCCTACTTAACCATGGCTTTTTCACATGGAGGAAGATAATAATTGGGGAGCAGCTTCCTGAGAATTTAACCATCCAAAGACACTTTCTTAGTTCACGTGTTATTACCTCCAAGACATTACAATGGTGGATGCCTCCACTGAGGTTTCCACTTTCTTCCCTGCCCATCATGGGCCCAATCCAGCTGGTCTCACTGTGAGCAGTGGCAAGTTTGCTTCTTCAGCATCTTGCAACTCCGTCTCCAAAGTAACCATCACATGTGCTTCTCTAGCAGCCTGCGTCCACTCCATACTCAGCTACATGCGCTTGTTTTGCTTGAAAACACCTGGCTCTATTTCAGTCCCTAATCTGGTGACCTTGGCCTCCTCTGGCACAGCTTGTCAGTGATCCTGGAGGCCAGTGGCCACAGCTGCCACTCTTCCTGCAAGAGACTGCTAGGCTGTGGGAGAGGGATGGGGTGTGGGTGGAGATGTTGGAAATCTCCCACCTGTTCCATCCCAGCATCTGGAGGAGTTAAGATCGAGAAAGGGTCCAAATTGATGGCTTCACAGCCCCTGTGTCCAAGTCTCCAGCAAAATTAGCTGGTCCCCCTCTTTACTGGGGGACCAAAGTCAGCATACGTGTTTTTCCTCACTACTTTTCATTAGTGGAGTTCTGTTAGGCATACTGCATGTTATAAAGTGAAAGAGAAATTCTGTATTAAAAAAAGAAAATGTCTTCAAGAATGAGGGATAGAAGAGATATTTAAAAGATTTGCTTCTCATGGATTTAATTTGGCCTTGGCATTCAGTATTTGGAAATGGTCTTAACGAAAACCATTCCTGTTGTAGAAAATCCTTTTTCAGATCCTTGTTATCCCAGGGAGATTAGTTTAAACCTTCCAGCCCCAGCAGTTGTCAGCGTCAGCCGCCTTAGAGAATGAAATGCACCTTGTCCCTCAGTGTTTTTGGCTCATGGGATTCAATTCAAGTCCAGTCAAGTCTCCTTGGCTGGGGTTTTTGTCCTATGAACAGATCCTCAGTTGTGTCTCATGTGTCTACATTCACTCTATACTTGACTGCTCAGAGCATAGCTAGGTCAGCTGCTAAAAATGCATTTCGCAGAAGGCTTAAAAACATCAATTGCTTCATTTGTATGCAAATAGAAAGTGGTGGATAATTATATATTATACGCCTTTGTGTCAGTTCATTTAATACTTGAAGCAGTCTTTGTCTCGAAGGAGTGTGCCCTTACTAAGAAAGGGTATGTGAATGGTACATTTATTCCGGGAGAGGGGAGATTGTTTACATCATGTCTGGACTTTTGTCTAGTTGGGTAGACAGTTCTGCTGCACTAGCAGTCTCCGTAGAAAGGGAGTCTACATAGATAAAGAAGTCTACATAGGCGCTGCCCTGTGTCTGCGCACCTTGGAATTGTAGCCAACAGAGAAAGAAGTATTCAAACTGAGGTTTAACTGGCGCAAGACAGGAATGGTTAAAAGGCGGATTAAAAAGCAGCATATTTAATTCTTGGAGAGAACTGGGAAGGGACAATCTCCAAGTGTGTGCATTCTAGCTCTGCTTTCACTGGAAATGAACTGTGATTGATCGTGACATGCTGGGTTGTCGCTTGTTCTTAGTTGTACGTTCAAGACTGTCCTGTCACCACAAGGAAGTATTTATATTCAGCAGAGTTGAATCCAAGAAGGAATACTTTAAAAAAAAAACCACCTAAAATACAGGAAGAGGGGCCGTGATAGAGATGGCACACATAGAAATGTGGACATCACATGGAAATGGTGAATTATGAGTAGACTGTGAATTATATTCTAGAGCCTGATATATTATAGTCTCGTGGTTTAATGATGACATGCTACAGAAAATAGAGGATGCCTTTTTGTCATCTAGCAATCGAAGAAGGCAGTAATGTAAAATTTCTCAGATTCTTTTATTTCTAAATGAATGCATATGAACTTCAAGCCACATAATATTTCTTAGTTTCAGTTACTGTATTGCTGTAACATATCCAAAATTGGGTGGTGACTGACTGGAGGTTGCAAAGGCTAGAATACATAACTGCCTTGAGACATCCATTTGAAAGACACAACAGATAAATGGGGAAGAGAATCAGGCCTCTCTTTTTTCATCGGTTACTTTGGTGTGGGATGTCGGCCACACTTTCTTTCCTGTGACTACTCAGGACACAAGCCCTTTAGATGACCAATTCTCTGGGGGAACAATTACTACTCAACTGACTTCCTGAGCAGCTTGATAATGGTCTGCTCTGGTTTTCAGCCAGGCTGCAGCGGGGGCAGTGATTTGATAATAAGAGATCCTGATCAAATTAAAGAGCCATTTGCTTCTGGATGATGATGTTGATAAAAGAGTTGGTGTCCACACTGCCTGCTTTTTTCAAGGTCAAAAAAAAACCACCGAAACAGTCTTTAACTACAAACTACTATCCAAAGCAAAATAATCAGAAGCAGCATAAAGTTTGTTTTCTTTCGCCGTTACCTCTGGGAAAGGGTCTGTTCTTTATTTGCTGCAGTCAGTCACGAATGACTCTTTTTGCCTCTCAGTTGGAGGACTTGACATTGGAAGTGGGCACATGGGGAAGGTGATGGGATGATGAATCTCTAAACCACTCAAGTCTGTGAATTAGAATCAAGCACTCGAGCTCTTGGTTCTCTAAGCTCCTGGTTCTTACACACACGCATGCTCACGCATGCATGTTTTTTTGAGACAACAGCTTTTGCTTTAGTTGGGCAGTCGTAAGTGAATGTCATCTGTACAATGGTTCTTCTAGTCTCAGAGTAGGATGAGGCTGCTCTCAATGCGAGTTTGTTAGGAGTGTTTAGAGAAGCAGACAAGCAGGGACATGAAATACCCCCCTAGAGTACCGCTTGCTCAGCCCATCTAAATCAGGAGCTTTGCAAGCAACCCAGAGCTCTGTGGGCTGTGGTGGTGACACAGACAGAGGGCAGGCAAAATTGCCAATCGCCCCGCCTGGCTTGGGATCGCCTGTGCGCAGCTCCCTGAGAGCCAGGGACCACGTGGAGATTGTGATTGGTCTCTAGACCACACCTAGTTGGTGAGTGCAGCTGCTGCCTGAGAATCCCTCAGCTCTGCCGAGATTGCTGGAGTGAGTGCACACAAGCTACCTCCAGACACCAGACGGGACACCAGACCGGAGAGGAAGATCAGAGCTGCTGCGGTGGAGGAGTTGTGGAAACTTTGCTGAGTGAGTGAAATGGGGAGAAGGAAGCTAGTGGCTGGCACTGGGGGGTAGTTCCTGGGCAGGTCAGCAATGAAGGTAAAGAGCTGGTTGTGATTGTTACCATCTGATTCTGTCTGTGGTGGGAGAGCAGCAGGGCTGCAGGAGATGGGCGAGAGCACAACTGGGAAGGAGATAAGCCCAGAATCAAATTGATACCCACCTCTTGGCACTCTTGCAATCCTAGTTGGCCAGAAGGGCAAGCGTGCTGGACCACAAAGCATAGATCCTTAAACTTGATCCTTACAAGCCTTGGGGCCAGGGGAATTGCAGAGGGGCTGCAGTGAGGGCCTGCTGCCTTCCCCTTACCCAAGTGGGTCTCTCTTCACTTCCCCTCCCAAGCTGCGGACAGCTGGGGCTGCAGCTTGAGTGATGGGGAAAGAAAGCTTTACTCCACCAGCCCATTAGCAGCACTCACAGCATTAAAAATGCAGGAGGTGGATGGCAGGAGAGGGCCTGCGATGAAGAGTAATGCAGCAGCGGGTGCTGGGAACAGCCAGCCTTCTCTCTCCTTCGAGCCCAGATTCAGCTCTGGAGCCCAAGAATGAGGGAAACTTTTGGTTTAAAAGAATTCTATAGTGTAAATGCAAACAGAGCATCCAAATGGTTGTTAGGGAGAAAATCGGCGGCACCTTGGGCTTCCTTAGCCTTAGGAAAGTGTTTACTTTTTAAAAGTCTAGGAACCCGCCTGTATCCACACAGCCTAGAACAGTGCCTGGCTCAGCAGCTCTTGCTCAGCATCCTATGGAAGTTAGGCATGGGCAGCAACCTTCCTCTTTGCGTCCTCAGGGTCTCCCGGGTGCCCCCGCCCCGCAGGTCCTCCGGCCTCCCGCGCAGGGCGATGCCGGCCTCGTCCACCATCCACGTGCTGCAGCTGCTGCGGGAGCTGCTGGCCTTCGTGCTCCTTAGCTACACGGTGCTCATCGGGGCGCTGCTGCTGGCCGGCTGGACCACCTACTTCCTGGTGCTGAAGTGACAGCGCCGCCAGCCCGCTCTCCGCCCCTCCCCGTCCTCTTCACGCCCGGGCCAGGGCAACCTCGAGGCGCGGCTCAGACCCAGCTCAAATCCAACCACCCATCACGACGGCCGACTTCGCTCCGCCCGCTCCGCGCACTCAGGACCAGGGCCCGCCCCGCCCCGCCCCGCCCCGCCCCGCGCGGAAGCTCCGGCGGTTGGGTAACGGGAGCGGCCGTTACAGGCGTTACCCTAAGTCCCGCCCCTCCTTCCCCGCCTGTCCTATCCCGCCTGACCCCTCGGGCAGGGGCGTGGTCATGGGGCCGTGCCCACCCAAGTTTAGGCCACGCCACGCCCCCGCTCGCGAAAGTGACGTCACTTCCGGCGTGCATGTTTGGCGTCCGCCCGCGGTGGGATGGCGGCTCTGAGGAGTTGGCTGTCGCGGGGCGTATCCTCCTTCTTCAGGTACCGCTGCGGTGGTGTAGGAGTGCCGGTCGGGAGCCGGGGAGGCGACGCAGATAAATCTGTAGCAGGGACTGCAGCGCCGGCCTTGCCGGCGCGCACTTCTCTCGGTCTTAACGGGCCGCGGCGCCCCGCCCCTCTCAGAGGCCTGAGGACGTCCCGCGTCTGCCCGGGCGGGAGGCTTCCGCCCCCTCGGTCAGGCCCGGGGTTCATTTCTCACTGACGGCTTTTTAGTTACTCCACCTGCTGAAAGCGAGTTCCCCCCAACCTCCAGCTGTCTTCTTGGGGCGGATAGGCCTGCGCACGAGATCCCGTGGGCCCATCAAAGTACTGGGAGGGGAGACAATGGGGGGAGAGGCCCGGGCTGGTGACGGGTTATTAGAGGAAGCTTTCCCTGAGGGCAGAAGGGGCCCCGGGAACTCGTCATTTCCCCTCGCGGCACCTGCGGGCACCATCTGAGCTAAATCCTGCCTGCAGAAGCGTTAACTTTGGCGTGAGGTTTTTAAATAGCTCTGAGAAGGCCTCTTAAACGTCCACACCTGGTGCCTGTTAAACTCCAAAACCTTTCCTCCCACGCTCCCGCACCGCCGTGGTTCGCGGGAGCTAAGTAGCGGTTGCCTCTCTAGCGAGAGCAGGGCTTTCCAGCCCCCCTCCAACCCCCTCACCCCCACTCCCTACTGAGCCCTGCCGCCTGGAAAGCGACATTTAGGTTTCCAACCCCCGCAAATAAGTTGAAGAGACAGTTACAGATTGGTGGTTGTGCCTTATTAAATTTTATTAAATTTGACTTCATTTCTAGGTACAGACAGTGTGTTCCTGCCGTGGCTAACTTGAAGAAGCGCTGTTTCTCTGAACTGTCAAGACCATGGCACAAAACGGTGGCGTTTGGATTTGGAGTAACCCTGTGTGCAGTTCCCATTGTACAGGTAAAGTACTGTCGTGCCTTGCAGTGTTTCTTGTCTTAGTGGAGTGTGTCCTCTTTGAGTCTCGAGTGGGCAGCGACACATCAGACAAGCTCTCGAAGTTTTACCCAGGGCTGCCACCCCTCCCACGCGTCGGCAGGCACACTTTCTACTGTACTGGCAACTTCCTTCCTTCCAGAGCTGAGCAAATATATTAAGGTTCCCATTTTGATTGCCTCTTTTGGCAGGAACAGTATGTCAAGTTGGTCAAATTGTATAAAGAGGGATGAGAGAAGAGGAGGATTACCAACAAAATAGCCTTTCATTCAACAGAAATTTATTGAGCATTTTTTGTGTGCCATACACTGGGAATGTAAGCGCAAAACAAAGTTCCTGCTCTCATAAAGCTTACGTCCTGGAGAGAGGAAAGGGGAGAAAATCAACAAATATAAAATGCCAGGTGATGACAAGTGCTAAGCAGAAAACAAATAGGGGAAGGGAATAAGAAGTGCTGGGAGGGAGTTTGGGTTTAGACAGGGTGGTCAAGGAGGGCTACTGAGAGTGTCGTATCTAGAGAGATCAGAACAATCTGAGAGAGTGAGCCATGGTCATATCTCAGGGAAGAGCTTGCCAGGCAGAAGGAACCCTTTTAAAGTGCAAAGGTCTAGATGCAGCAGTGTGCGTGATGCCTGTGAGAAACCGAAAGGAGGTGAGTGTTGCCAGACTGGAATGAGGAAGAGAGAGAGTAATAAATGAGGCCAGAGGGTCAGCTGAGAATCAAATCGTGTTTTGTACTTTATGGGCCATTGTAAAGCTTTGGAATTTGTTCTGAAAAGGAAGCCACAGAGGATTTTAACACAAGATTATTACAATCTGACATAACTTTTTTTTTTTCCATTCAGAAAGTAGAAATTGTCAAAGAACAGCAATCTATATTCATTGCATGTATCTGAGACAACTGCGTTGTGTAAGGCTGGAAGAAATACATTTATTCTAGAGTTCTTTAGCAGCTTACTTAGAAAATCTAGATATTTCTTTTTCTTCAGTTAATGCAAAGAAGTGTGTATGTTTAATTGCCTGGATCCTATTCCTGAAGATTTAAAAATATAAAATAGAAACATTTTAAAGAAATCTAAAACATTCATTAATGAAAAAAAATGTTCTATCCTCGTTCTCTCAAATATGGTAAAATCAAAATTTAAGCCTTATCAAATAAAAATGTGTGGATGCTGCATAAGCAGTATCAATTTCAGTAATAGAGGCAATTTTGTTAAACTCTTGTTTTTGAAAATAGAGGCATCTCACTGGCTCTGTGCCCCTCAGCAGTTATTCGTTTTTTATGCTGATCCCTCCCTCCCCACCCACCCTTCTTTGGCAACCATCAGCTTGTTCTCTGTATCTGTGGGTCTATTTCTGTTTTGTTTATCCTCCCATTCAGTAGGCGTTTTGTTTTGTTGGTGGTTTCCTTTGCTGTGCAAAAACTTTTTAGTTTGATGTAGTCGTATTTGGTTTTTTTGTTTGTTTGTTTCCCTTGCTCAGGGAAATATATCTGAAGTGATACTGCTAATACCAGTGTCAAAGTTTACTGCCTATGTTTTCTTCTAGGAATTTTATGGTTTCAGATCTAATATTTAGGTCTTTAATCCATTTTGAGTTTATTTCTGTATGTGGTGTAAGTGGTCCAATTTCATTTTTTTTTGTCTGTAACTATCCAGTTTTGCCAACACCACTTACTGAAGAGACTGTCTTTATCCCATTGTATATCCCTACCTCCTTTGTCATAGATTAGTTGACCATATAAACGAGGATTTATTTCTGGGCTCTGTGTTCTATTCTGCTCTACGTGTCTGTATTTATGGCAGTACCATACTGTTTTGATGATTGTAGCTTTAGAGTATAGTTTGATATCAGGGAGTGTGATACCTCCCACTTTGTTCTTTCTCAAGATTTCTTTGGCTATTCAGGGTCTTTTGTGGTTCCCTATAAATTTTAGGATTAGTTCTAATTCCAAGAATGCCGTTGGTACTTTAATAGGGATTACATTGAATCTGTATATTACTTAAGGTAGTAAGGACATTTTAACAATATTAATCCTTTAATCCTACCAATCCATGAGCAAGGTATATCCTTCCATTTATTTGTATCTTGTTCGATACCTTTCTTCAGTGTCTTAAAGTTTTCAGAGTACAGGTCTTTCACCTCTTTGGTTAAGTTTATTCGTAGGTATCTCATATTTTTTGATGCAGTTGTAAATGGGATTATTTTCTTCTGATCATTCATTATTGATGTATAGAACTGCAACAGATTTTTTTATATTGATTCTGTATCCTGCAACTTTACTGAAGTAATTTATTCTATTAGTTTTTTGGTGGTATAGTTAGGGTCTTTAGGGTTTTCTGTATATAATATTGTCATCTGCTGACATAACTTTTTAAAGATTGCTGTGGAACTATGAAGACCAATAGGAGTCCAGGCATGAGATGATAGTGGGCTTGGACTCGGGGGGCAGCAGTGGAGGTGGGAGAAGCGGGCCAAATGTGGTCAGTAGGAGCTGCTCATGGATGAGATGTAGAGTATATAGCCTAAATTCAACGCTTTAAAAAGGCCTAAACAACTGAAAGAATGGAGTTGCCATTTATTGGGCTGGAGTGGAGTAGGCTTTAGGAGGAGGAAATCAAGGGTTCAGCTTTGGAAATGACAGTCTGAGATGTCTAGTAGACATCTAGGTGGAACTGTCAAGCAGACAGTTGATAGAAAGTGGTACCTTATTTTAAAAAGTCACTGGTTACATGCGTTATTGGGAAGAACTAAATAGGAAACCAAACCCCATTTTGGTACAACATTCCTGATACATGTGTGTTTATCACAACAAAATTCATTCCATTTATCACAAGTATTTTCAACTCTTTCTGAGGCTCACTCATAGCTGTCACCTTTTGTGCCTCACTTCAACCCTCATCTCTGCACACTGATGAATCTTTAACCCTAAGGCCCTTACTTGGACACCAGGCCATTTTCAGCCACAAGTAGGACACCCTTTTCTTTCTTCCTCCAAAAGATTTTTTGGGGTTTGCCCTTTCTCGGTTCATATACTATTCTTAAGCCCTGTTTACCTCAGTTTTGGGCCACATGACAGGAGCCTCTAGTCATTGTCCTGTACAACAGCAGTCCTACTTCTGTTCTGCAAACCTGCAGTAGCTGTCCACGTGTCACAGAGCTAAACTCTAAATGACCCCTGTGCTCCAATGCCCAGCGGCCTCATCTCCCGTGCTGTCCACTCCAGCCAGGCTAGACCCCTGAATTATGCCTGCCTGCGACATCTATATTCTAGTCCTCGTTTCTTCTAGCCTACATGCCTGGCCATTCAGATCCTACTTGTCTTCAGGCCCAAAACCCACCTCTCTTTATGTATTTGTTTATTCATTTATTTTTAAAGATTTTATTGGGGAATTGGGGGAAGGGGAACAGACAAGTTGCTGTCCTTTTGTTCTTCAGTCTAGTTGTGGAGGACGTGGCTTCACTGGCCCAAGTTGGCACCATCATTGTGCTCTTCCCGGACTCACCTCTCTTTAAAACCTTTCCTCATCCCTGGCCAACAGTCCCCCTCTCTGACCACTGAATGTTTTGATATTTGATGACAGTCCCTTTGGCACTTTCCTGAGTCAGTCAGCAGAGCATATTGGAAATGTCAGAGAGCGAAGATTTGAGTTCTAGATGTGTGGATTTTGGTTAAGTGACATAACCGCCCGGAGCTGCCATTTCCTCATCTGTGGAAAGCAGCCTAGTACCTGGGCTGTTGTGAGGGACGAGTGGCAATGCGCTGTAAGATGTAGGGCATTATGAAGACGTAAGTTATGAGAACATGTCAAAAGTAGCTTCTCACACGCAGAGATGCTGTCGCTCTTTCCTTCCTAGCCCCTCAGTGCACACTACACAATGAACATTTAATTATTTGACTGGATGAAATATAAATATGGTAAGTAAAATTCTTGATTTGTTCCTGTACCAAAGATATTTCTTTTTTTTTTTTTTTAAGATTTTTATTGGGGAATTGGGGGAAGGGGAACAGACAAGTTGCTGTCGTTTTTTGTTCTTCAGTCTAGTTGTTGAGGACGTTGCTTCACTGGCCCAAGTTGGCACCATCATTGCGCTCTTCCCAGCGAGGCAGATCAGTCACCGGCTTCTGGACGGCCGCTCACTGCGGCTGCTGGCCGCTCACGCTGGCTGCTGGCTACACACGGCAGCCCATGGCAACCCACTGCCACAGGGGCTGCAGCCTCTGCCGTCGCCGGCGACTCATGGCAGCCCAGCTCCAGGTTGAGCTGTTGTTCAGCATCTTAGCTGTAGAGGGCAGTGTCACTGGCCCTCATATGTGGGATCCGAACCAGGGCCCTCTGGCGTCCCAAGCCAGTTCTTAACCATCGCGCCACTCGGCCGGCCCCCAAAGATATTTCTTGAGTGCTCCTTTCAACAGGCAGTGATTCTGTGTTTATACTCCAAACAGCAAAATCAAGTCAAGAGATGGTAGAAGGACTGGTTTCTTTGTTAGTTCTGCTACAGTAACTGCTCTGCCAAGGAGAAGGGCCGAGTCAGAGAGTTATATTGGCTTTTTTATTTTTTAACATAATAGCTGAGGTCAGAGGAGTCCCCCCACCACCAAGACCATATGGCTCTTTCTGCCCAGAATTGCCCTCCCCACCCACCCATTTACTTTCTTTCTTAGACTCAGCGTAATCCTCAGCTCTGTGAAGCCTTTTCTAAGCTGTTCTCATTCAACACAGAAGCGATGGCTCCCTGTGTGGGCCCCAGTGTAGCCTGTACAGACCGCTGCCACAGCTCCCACGATGCTTGATTGCATTTGATTTTCAAGTCTTCTGAAAAGCCCCAGCCTCTCCCCTCCCCCGTCTGGAATCTTTATATCTTATTTATCTTTATATCCCAAGCATCTAGCACTGGGGTAATAAATGAATCATAACTTCATGAAATTGGTTATAATTACTAGCCTTTTATATAAAGAAATACTTTATTTTGGGGGGCAGAGATAAGGAATAAAAGTAGGTAAAAAGCATACTCTGTAATTATTTCCATTTATTGTCTTAAGCAGCCAAAGTAAAGCTTAGAAAGAAACAGCTGGCCCAAAAGCTTCGTGCATTTGCAGCATGAGGATCACGTTTCCACTTGGCTGTCTGTGAGGATGTTCTCAGCCCGCTTCAGATGTTGAGTGAAAATGTTTGTGTCTTTCAGAAATCGGAGCCTCATTCTCTCAGTAACGATGCACTAATGAGGAGGGCTGTGTCTCTGGTAACAGACAGCACCTCCACCTTCCTCTCTCAGACCACATATGCATTGATTGAAGCAATCACTGAATACACCAAGGTAAGTGTCCTCCTGTGAAGGCTTGGTCATCTAGACCAGGGGTCGGCCAACTGCGGCTCGTGAGCCACATGTGGCTGTTTGGGTACATTCCATCTCAAAAGTTTGCTGGGCCCTGGAGGAGCCAGTCCTGTCCCTCACAATAATTAAAAATTATTCGAGAGCCATAAATGTATTTTTACATAATCACCATTATGTGAATATCTTCTAAAAATTTAATAAATGAAACTAGGATAGTTCTATTTTCATTTTCAATTTTACTTCAGAGCCACATGTATGTACCCAAAGAGCCGCATGTGGCTCACGAGCCGTAGTTTGCTGACCCCTGGCGGCTCTTCTGTCTCAAAGGTTTGCCTACCCCGGATCTAGACCAGTGGCCGGCAAACCACAGCCCTCAAACCAAGTCCAGGCTAATGCCTGCTTTGTGGTTTTACCGGAACGTGGCCAGGCTCACTTGTTACTGCATCGCCTAGGACTGCTTTCGTGAGCTGGAAAGTTGCAACAAAGACTACACTACAGGGCCCACAAAGTCTAAAATATTCACTATGGCCCTTTACCAAAAAGTTGGCTGAGCCCTGATCTAAAATCACTAGTTTTCAGACTTTTTCCAGGAACTCTTTTTAAAAGAAAAATCTTCAATATGGCAGCCCAGTTTATAAGACAGGGGAACCAGCTGACCTGGTTCAGTTAGGGGCCGAAGGGCCCAGCGTCTACCACCAGCAGCTTCTCTGTGAGGGCGCTTTGAAAACCGCTGATCTGAGCTCATAGAGTATATGGAGAATCAAAACTATTTAAAAGTCTCATTTACTTTACCTTTATTTTCCAGCAACTTTTTCCTCAGCTTTCTGAGTCCCCCGCTTGGCATTGTATTCTTTCTCTGTCTCAGTTGCTAATGAGCTTTTAAAAACACAGTAGTTGACCAGTGGAAATACTGTCCTGGCATCAAGCCCGTACAATAGTGCGTTGTCAGGCAGGACTGAAGCCAGTCTGCTGTGATGAGACCTCCTCTCCTTGCGGTGTAAGCCTCACTAATCCTACACAATAGGCCTAACTGATTTTACTCAGGCTTGTTTGTTCTATATTTGTAGGCTGTTTATACCTTAATTTCTCTGTACCGAAAATACACAAGTTTACTTGGGAAAATGAATTCACAGGAGGAAGATGAAGTGTGGCAGGTGATCATAGGAGCCAGAGTTGAGGTAAGCAAAGGTTATTAGGCATTCCTGTACTAGTGCTTCTGCTTCACTGTGGTTTCTAAAGTGCTGAATTAAAGTGTCTCTACCCCAGTAACTGTTCCCTAAATCTCCCATTTTGAATCAGTCCGTTTAAATGTGCTTAACCCCTTCATGTTGTGTGAAGCACTTCCTTGCATTTACAGATGACTTCAAAACAACAAGAGTACCTGAGGTTGGAGACCACATGGATGACTGCGGTTGGTCTTTCCGAGATGGCAGCGGAAGCTGCGTACCACACGGGTAGGTTCGCGTTTTCACTGGGGGGGCTGCCGCTTGACTTCTCATCTGGCTGTAAGAGGGATTTGGAGTCGATAGTCTAAAGCTCAGTGTGGCTCTGATTTGGTGAGAAAGGGCCCCTTTGCCCAGTATATTACCCAGCATTGTACTCGCACAACAGGAAAAAGTAACACCCCTGTAGGCCAGACTACTAGAAGCCAGGCATCAATATCTAGAAAATTAAAAATAAGGGCCGGCCGAGTGGCTCAGTTGGTTAAGAGCTCGCTCAAGAGTTTGAGCTCTGAGCAACAGCGGTTCGAGTCAGCCCAAGCTGAGCAGCCGCTGAGCTACCAACAGGTGGCAGGATGGCTCAGCTTAAAAAAAAAAAAAAAAAAAATTTAAAAATAAAACTACAGCCAATTGGAAAATTTGATTGCCTCCAAATAGTTTTTAAGCATTTTATTTGTTTATGACCCAGATAGTTTATGAATAACTAGTATTTGTCTATTTCAGGCTTTGTAATAAGCATTTTATAGGCACTTTTAATTTAACCCCCCCCCCGTTCCCTTAAAGTAGGACCTGTTATTATAATTCCCACTTTACAGGTGAAGAAACTGGGGGACAGATGGGCTAAGGAGTTCACCCAGGATGCTGTGGGACAAGAAGTAAACAGCCAAACTGGGATTTAGCCAAGTAGACAAATGCTTACGCCTCTGCTCCCGGTAGCCCAGCTGCAGCCTCTGTACCGTGGTGCCCAGCAAAGCAGATGCAGTTTAGTCATTCACCAGGGTGTTTTCTGAACATCACCATCCATCCAGTGGGCTTGAGTGAAGTGGTTTCTTAATTAAATATATTTTGAGGGAAACCCTAGTTTAATTAACATCTTACCTGATGGGTCCCAAACAAGGTAGCTCACAGAAATTATAGCCTAGGACCAGCTCTACTAAGAAACTGGTATGTTGAAACACTTTTGTTTTCTGATTTCATGATATCAGACCTGGGACACTAGCACCAAATCTTTAAAGTGTTTTTACTAAAAACAAAACAAAAAATCCACACAAAAGGATTCTTAGTTAACTAGCTGAAACCTGAGAAATGAGAGGATCTGAAAACAACTGGAATGAAAAGTGAAAATAGCATTACAGGCGTGGCACACCTGAGCTGGGGGCAGAGTTCCAGGTGCAGTGAAGGGGGAGCTAGACGGCTAAGCTCCTGCAGCAAGAACGTCCCCAGGCAGCCTTCACACTCACCTAGGCAGGCTTAGCTCTAGCGCAGGTGCAAGCATTATCTGAAAAAATAGATATTTCCCAGAACTGATTGAAAGGACTCAAAGGTTCTGAACAGAATTTAAAAAAAAAGTCACATGGCAAAAAAGATTCAGTATGTAAAATATACATAGACACATCTGAAAAACTATAAGCAAAGATAGATATGCCTACAGAGGCAGTGTAATCAGACATTAATCTTATCGACAACCCCAGGTGCAAGGTGACAAATCTCATAACCTAGAATTTTATGTCTAGTCAGAGATGATTAAAATATTAGAATGAAGGATATTTTCAGACATATAAAGTCTCAAAGTTTACCAAACACATATGCTTTTTGGAAAAACCACTCTGTGAAGAAAAATGAGAAGCAACTGAAGTACAAGAATAATGAACCAGGGGCAGCTGGTTAGCTCAGGTGGTTAGAGCCATGGGCTCATAACACTAAGGTTGCCAGTTTGATTACCACATGGGCTAGTGGGCTGCACCCTCCACAACTAGATTGAAAACAACGACTTGACTTGGAGCTGATGAGTCCTGAAAAAACACACTGTTTTCCAATAAAGTTAAAAAAAAAAAAAAAGAATAATGAACCAAATTTAGTAAAACTTGTCAGAAGTTCTTAGTGTTAAACAGATTTTTAAATAATGAAATCAGATTGGGGAAGAAGTGAAAACACACCAACCTTTCTTACCTTGTTTGGAAAGAGAGACACTGGCTTAACATTAGACATTGTTAAACACTACAGAAAGAATGGGGTGGGGTTTGGGAAGGAAGGCAGAAATAAAGAGAAAGCCTGTTAGAAAATGCAAAGTAGAGGAACACCTTCAAATGTCAGTAATCAGAATAAATTTACTATTATTAAATACTTTCAGATTGTGTTCAAAAAAATAATTCTAGCTAAAACTGTTTATAAAGGCACCCCTAAAACAAAGTGGCATAGGAAGGTTGAAAATTACAAAAAGAAAAACCAAACCATTGACAAGAAAGCTACCCCAAAAAGTTGGCCCAGCAATGTCTGAATCAGAAAAACGATTCAAGACAGAAAGCATTAATTTATCAAAACATCAATCACAAAATGTGTACCTAGTAAGGCAAAAACTGATAGACTTTTACAAGGAAAAACTGAGCTTTATACACATCTGAAATACTCAAAAAAATTTGAGCTATAAAGGGTTGGGACAATGATTTTTAAAAGCATAATCAAATATATATACTGAATATAAAGTTTTTCTCCCCAAATATTTTCAAACATAAATAGAACATGTACAAAAATTGATCTTGTACCAAATGACAGAGACTCAGCAAATTCCTTCACACCCTTTCCCCACCAAAAATCAAAATGGAAATTGAAAAATACTTAGAACTGTGATGACAAATGCTGTAGATAGTAGACCCAGGGAGTTGTAGACAAAGTCCCTTTTAAAGAGAAGTGGACGCCTTTAAAGGCATGTGTCAGAAATACAAAGAATAGCATCCATGAATGACAGGTAATGTTCACTGTACAAAGAAGTACTAAAAATAAACGTTTAACCTAGTAACTGAGAAAAAGAGCAAAATAAATCCAGACAGTGTAAAAGAAAATAAAAGGTATAAGAAGATTAAAGAAATATAGCCAAAAAGGCAAAATCTGGTTCCTTGAATAAATAAGATTGGCCAAGTATGATTTTTTAGAGAGCAAAAGTAACATCTGAAAAGGCTACTATAAATATGGAGGTTTTTTACATTATATGAGAATATTATCTATATGTAATCCCAAATTGGCCCAAGAAAGTAAAGAATCCAAAAAAAGACCAATAACCATAAAAGTTGAAATATTCAAAATGGGCACTAAGCCTAGGCTGTTTTGTGGGAGAGTTTTATATATTCAAGAAACATGATTCTTATGTTACGGAAAGTATACCAGGCCTTACAAGATGATGACAAGCCTCCTATTGTAATTGTATGAAGTCAGCGTAGGCCTGATCCCAGACTGGACTAGGGCAGCACCAAAACAAAAAAACTGTAGTTAAGTATCACTTATACAGATGTAAGTCAAATGTAGCAATTTACCGCCAAAATACAGTAATTCAACATTGGAAAAATACTGTCAACATAATTGACTACTTGAGATTATCTATCTACAGTAAATTAACGGAGAAAAGCCACCCATGTAATCCTATCAGTATATGCCCCAAAAGCCTTCGGTGAAATGTAGTACTCATTTATGATTTAAATCTTAAGTACAACTATGAATAGAGAGAATTTTCTTAACATGATAAAGCTTAAGTAATCCTACTTAATAGTGCAATATGAGAGGCATCTCCATCAAGGTCAGAAATAAAAGATGGATGGATACCTGCTGTTCTCCACTACCTTTCAGCATTGTACTAAAGGTTCTCATTAATGCGGTAAGATAGAAAACCACCCAGTGTTCTATAGATGAATTGCTAAATATGCATATTTATATGATGAAATACACTAGCAGCAGGTAAAAGGAATGATAGAGCTCAAAAACATTTATAAAACAAAATTGCAAATATGTTCAATAAATACCTTTTGTGCTAATACGTAAATTTATACAATAGTAACTATTTTTCTAAGCATTCCATATGTATATGGTCACATTTTAAACTTCCAACAGAGGTTATATTTGAAGATTGGTTAGGGTGAGGAAAGAAATCTTTTGACAGTTTTATTAGTGATCTTTTAATTTGTCAAAAAGTGTATTGCTTGTGTAGTTAAATTCATAGAACATCGGTATTAAGAGCTGTGTAGCTACAAAGATGGTGGGAATTGCATTTAATAATTATCATAGCTGCTCACAGCTGGAGAAAAATGCTGGGATAATGCAGACCTGAATGTGGAGGTAGAGGGTTCTCTGCTCTGCAGAGAGAAGGCAGGGAGGGCAGGGAAGGTGGTCCCAAGAGCGGCTTAGGTGACAATGACAGAGCCCCAGGCTTTCCTCATGTCCACTTGCACCTACCCTGTTTGCCTGCAGGAGCAGATCAGGCCTCCGTGACCGCCAGGAGCCACATCCAGCTGGTGAAATCACAGGTACAGGAGGTGCGCCAGCTCTCCCAGAAAGCAGAAACCAAGTTGGCAGAGGCACAGACGGAAGAACTCCTTCAGAAAACCCAGGAGGAAGGGGACGAGAGGGCTGAGCCGGAGCAGGAGGCCTACCTGCGAGAGGACTGAGGGCTGCGCCGCTGCCCATGTCCGCCCACCAGCCTGGGGTCGGCACAGCTTCCTCTGCAGGGAGAGGCAGAGGCCTTTGGGAGCTGTGAGTGCCTGGCGCTCCCCCGTGGTCTCAGTCGTACCAGACAGACCTGGTTCTTAGCCCGGCCACTGCACCCTGTTTAACCCCACCCTGCACAGCTGCCCTCCCACCCACAGCACCTCACTAACCTGCCCAGAGGGAGGGCTCCTTTTATGTTGTGCCCACAAGTTCAGTAGCTGTTTAACCTCAGTTTCCGACCTTACCTTTTCAGATAGGATTTAGTATTTGCTCCCTCCGTAGGGATGTGAGTGTGGGGAGAGGGGAGCCTGTCCTGTTTGTAAGATGTCTTTTTAAGTGTTTCTAATGCCTTCTCTGACCTGGCTCCCACCGCCCAGGCCAAGGAGCCACCAGTCCACTCTGCGTAAGGGACTGAAGGCAGAGTGTTTACCTGGTACTCGCAGCAGGACTTACTTCAACACACGCTTCCCGTGGCCTTCTTTCCTTTGAGTTTCTCTATTGTATCTGAAGGAGAATAATTTTTTTTGCATTTAAAAAAGATGTGTGTGTGTGTCTTCTGGGGCCCAGTGCAGCCTCCCACCTTCCCCGTGACTGGCGGAGCCCTAACGGGCCCGACGGTCCCACATGGAGTTCTGGCAGCTGTACTTGGGCTCCCATTCAACACGTTAGCCAGGTTTCAGTGTTTTTAATCAAAGGTAAAAAGTTTGGGAGGGGGTTACAAAAACTAAGTATTTCCTGGCGATCAGCGTGGGTCAAGTGTCCAGGTTCTCAATTTCTCATCACAGGCAGGAAAATCTACACTCAGTCCTCTCGCTCAGCCCACCCCTCGGAGCTGGGACACGGGGGCAGCCGCGCACTTGAGCCCCTCATCTGTCACCAGTGCCCACATGGTCCACATCTCCAGGGGGCTGAGGCGGTGCACCAGTAGGAGCCCTCTGTACAGGCAGGGGTCCAGGGGGTCCAGGGGCCGCCGGATTCCGAACGTCTTGAAGCCAGCGTGGTGCATGGGGCTCACCCCCAGCTTCCTCAGGCACATACCCACAAAGACGTCATCGATGGGGAAGAGTTCAGCCTCTTCCACAGCCGCCTGGAGGCGCTGCACGGTGGCCCTGGACATGACATAGCCTCCACCCCCAGCGTAGGGCGGGTAGTGGCGAGCCCTGTACATGGAGGGTGGGATGAAGTATTTGACCTTGGTGTTCCTGTTAGGGAGAGCCTGGCGGATGACGTCTCCCACCAGGAGGTCCTTGGCTGGGTCCCAGCCATCCAGGAACTCCAGCACATTGGGGACGTGGACAAAGACATCGTCATCTCCCTTTAGCATGAAGTGGGCCTGGGGACAGGCAGCCGCCACCCAGCGCTGCAAGTGCAGCTCTTTGAGCGTCAGGTTGAAGAAGTCCTCAGCGAAGTCCCACTGTAGGATATCATCAAACTCCCGACTCTCATAGGCCAGCAGCTGGGCTGGGGGTGCAGGTCCTGCCACCCCTAGGAGGAACACCAGCCTCAGCTGCCGTCCCCTAGCCCACTCCCCCCTCCGACCCCAGGTGCTGCGGATGGCCGCCCGCCGCTCCACGTGGCCCGGCTGCGACTTGATGGCCAGGAGCAGAAAGGTGTCCTCGGCACAGCCTGAAGGCTCCAGCAAGATGGAGAAGTTGCGGCAGTGGCGATAGGTCAAGAAAAGGCGGTGACGGTTAGGCAGTGACAGGGAGGCGTTAGCCACCGTGTGGTTGGGTGGACACTGGCTGCGGCGGGGCCCTGGGGGAGCCCAGAAGGGCTGGCGCACCGTGGGGCCCCCGGCCGGCTTGGCTTCCTTCTTCAGGAAGAGCAGGCAGCTGAGCAGCAGCACAGCCAGACTGTAGAGGACCAGCCAGCCCAGCCTGCGAAACATGGTGGCCCTGCGAGGGAAGAGCCGTGGGAGCGGGTCAGGCCCCGCCCCCGCCTCCCTGGTCCCTAGAGCCAACAGGTATCCCACAGCCCAGCACCTAAGCTCCTGCTGGCCTTTGGGACTTCTTTTATTTATTCTTTTCAGCTTGTCCTCCGGCTCTTTCCAGAGTCCCTCTCCCAGAGGACAGACAAAGCACACCTGCTGTGCCAGCCCTCACCTTCTGCCGTCATCAGAGGGCTCTTGGGTCAACTTTCCCCTCAAAAGGATTTGCAGCCACTTTAAAACTGAGGCGCCACGAGCGTTTTCAGCATTTCCCAGGAAACTCAAGTCCCTTATCTGCAACCGTGAAAACGGCACACTGCTAGTGTAGATTCCGGTTAAATCCATTCTAAGTACCTAACGTGACATTCAGGGCTCAAAAAAAAAAGTGTGGCGTCTGGTCTGTTGGTGGCAGGCCCTATGGCTGGGTGTCTCAGACGATCACCCCAACAGCAGCAGATGGTGGCGGCCACCACAAAACACGTCCTTCACATCTGCCTGGAAGGGGCCTGGGTTTCCGGGGAGAGGCAAGCCGCTTCAGGGAAAAGGCGCAGAAAGAGGATGAAAGCAAGTAGGAAAGGTGGAGGCTCGGACCACAGATGGCTCCCCTGCAGCCACCCCTCAACTGTCCTACGGCTTCCCCAGTTCTGGTTTCCTCAGTAAGTCCCCCAGCAATCCAAAGAGAAGGTGGAGAAACGCTAACCAGGGGAGCGGCCCGCCCAAGGTCAAGGGGAGCAAAGCCGGGCCTCAATCCCCTCCTGCCGCCCCCACGTCCTGGCCCCACAGCCTTCACGTCTACCCAGTCCACACGCGCTAGCCTCATCCTGTTGTCCCTGCCGCCGCCACCACAAAAAAAAACATTAGCTGCTAGGGATGTGGTGGAAGGCAAGACAGGCAGGGTCAACAGCCCTCTCAAGACAAGGGACAGACCAAAAAAACCAGTATGAACTGCAGGTAGTGCTGAGAAGACAGGGGAGCAGTGTCGTGGAATCCAGTCGTGAGAAGGTTCTGGTAGCCTCCGCGGGTTACAAAACCCTCCTCGATGAAGGACATTGGAGCAAGAACTGAAGGCAGTAAGGCACCAAGCCACATGAAGCTCTGGGGGACAGTGCTAGGCAAAGGGGACATTTAAGGGCAGGGGTGAAGGAGGGGTAGGCGTGTGGTCCTCGAGGACAGCAGTGCTGTGTGGCTGGGAGGAAGGGGTCGAGGTGAGCGGGCGACAGCGCGCGGAGGCATGCACGTAGGTGCCCCGAGGCCCGGTCCCACGGGAGAATTCAGCGGAGGTAGTGAAAGAACCCCCATTGTTTGGAAGCTCATTACCGCTGCTGCTGGGAGGCTCGCGGAAGAGCAGGGATGGAAACGAGCCCAGCTGAAAACTGTTGTCAGAACCCAGGATGGAAACGAGCCCAGCTGAAAACTGTTGTCAGAACCCAAGACGCAGCTGGGACTAGGGTAGCGGCTGTGGCGAGGTGAGGGCCGGCTGGCTTTCAGGTGTGGGAGATACGCGGGCTGTGGGTGAGGGGCCCCCGGGTGGGTGGTCGCGCCCGTCAAGCGGAAGGCCGCGAAGTCAGCGGCGTGGCTTTGTCGTGCGCCGTACCGCGGCCGGCGGGCGGGAAGCGCGGGGGACCTGCTCCCTCCTTGGTCCAGCCCGCTCCCACTGCGCCCACGCCCCGCGCCGGCCCTCCACGGCCCAAACCAACAGCAATTCCGCACCGCCGTGACTGGGGGGGCCAGCCTCTGCTCCCCACCCCACACCTACGGTGAATCGCACTTCAGTACCTGCTAAGCGGCGTCTCCCCTCCTACTATGAGGACCCCCCCAAGCCTGGCTTGTAACCGGCACCGGCTTAGCGAGTGCTCGACACCCTCCGAGTGGGCTGCTGAGTCCTAAGGGTCTGCGATTGTTTCTGGGGTCACAGCTGCCTCGGGTCCCCACAGGCTTGGTGACCCTGACATGCCACGATGAGGGAAAGGGCCAAGGGCTGGTTCATTTTTTCCACTCGACAGTCTCTCCAGGACGATTGTGGGGCCGCGGGCTCGCCAAGCACCGACCGGGAGCCCCGCGGTGCACCCCCCCCCTCCCAGGCCCGAGCGCAGAGCGCCGCCGCACGTCGAGGCGTCCGGGGCGAGCGGCTCATGCTGGCCCTTCCCCGACGCCCGGCTCGGCCACTCTGGCCTCGGGGGAACGAACCGAAGCCGAGCAGCAGCCTGAGGTCGCCTGGCCCCGACGGACCACTGGGGCGGAAGGCCCGCCAGCCGCCGGACAGAGCGGCGACCGCCCCGCTGCGCCCAGACCCTGCGCCTCCTCCGGCGGGAGCCCGCGGGGTGCAGAGGCACCGGCAGCCGCGGCGCCCCTCTACGCACAGACACCCCCCCCTCCCAGCAGCGGGGCACGACCCGCCCCTCGCGAGCCTACCTGAGCCGTGTCGCGGGTCGGGCGCAGGTGATGAGTTCAGGCGAGCAGCTGGCGGAGCGGAGCGGAGCACCAGCCGCACTCACCCTGCGGAGCTCCGGCGGTGGGCGGGGCCCGGCCGCGACCCTGGCGCGCTGGTCACGCCCACCCGCGGAGGCGGGGCTTCTGGGCACGCCCGGGGCCACCGCAGGTCCCCTCCCACCTGGGTTAGCGCAGCCCACCGCGCATCTGCGGGCGGAGGGACCCGGCCGCCCAGCCCTCCCGGCTAGTGCTGCGCCCGGCTCCCCCGACGCCAGGCCGCCGTACAGACGCGGGGCTGAGGTCGTCAGAACAGCCTTTAATGCGTGCGCTACATGGCGAGCACCTGGAGCGCCTCCTCGGCCGAGCGGCACTGCTTCAGCTGGATCTGGACCTCCACCGTCAGGGGCTCCGGCTGGTAGTGGCTTTCGTACTCTGGGAAAAAGACGAGCGCGTGAGTCCGCAGAGGTGAGCCAGCAGGGTCTCGGCCGCCCTGCGCGGGCTCATCCCTTTTATCCAAAACGCAAGCCCGTGCTCCGTCCAGGTGGAGCCCGGTCTCGGAATCAGAGACTCCGTAGTCACGAATAAAATGAAATCACGTGTAACTAGGGGACCACCATTTCACGTGAAAGGACACTTGACAGACTGCGGTTATCCAGAAGGGACAATTGGCAGATATTTTCTAAAAAAACGAATGAAGTAAGCCTGGCACACCAAGGGAAAACAACTGAAAGCATTTTGATAAAGTGCTAACACTTGGCTTTCAAGTAGAAATCAGAATTTGCGAACACTGTACCTGCCATCATGAACTTCCTTTTCCAACACTCAAAGACTCTTCTCATGATATGGGTGCTGGTATTAAAGAATGTAATTTTCGGATAATGTAGAACGAAATGTGTCAACAGTTGGGAGATCTGTATAACCCAGCGAGCTAGTATTTTATACAGAACCAATGTCTGATGTTACACGCTGCGTGGTTGAGAGAGCCGTTCAAAGTGCCGTGTAGCCCAATGGAGTTTTACATACTGATTAGGAAAGAAAATTAATCCATATAGATTCAGCTTTCACGTTGTAGTCTTCAGAAAAAAAACCAAAAAAACCTAGCTGGCATATTTGAAGTAATATCAAAAAAGGATACCGTTATTTAAAGCCTACTAAAATACTCCCCTCTTTTCCAATCACATGACCAGGGAGTTTGGATCTATTTTATACAGTTCAACCACAGCAACACATCACAAGGGACTACTGACTGCAGAAGCAGCTATGTGAATGCAGCTGTCCTCAATTAAGCCAGACATTAAAAGAGATTTGCAAAAATGTAAACAAAAATGATTTTAAGATCATCTTGCAGCTCTATCACAAATCACATGTCCATATTTGTATGGGTCTTGAAGTCCAGTAAATCCTTTGTGCTTTTTTAAAGTTATTTCGGCTATTCTAGGTCCTTTGCATTTCCATATGCATTTTAGAATCAGCTTGCTGATTTCTACAAAAAAAAAAAGAAAATTCCTCTAGGATTATGACTAAGATTGTGTTGAATTTATAGATCAGTTTGAGGAAAACCGATGTCTTAACAATATTCAATCTCCTGACCCATGTACCATTGTATGGCTAGGCCACCTTTTGTTCATACATTCATCCGCTGCTGGACATTTGAGCTGTTTCCACTTTTTTGGCTATTGTGATAGTGCTGCTGACCCTGCCTTCCACTTTGCAGCGTTCTCCCAGATGATCTCCTTGTCTGCTATCTCTCCCTCCAAACTGTCTTTGGAAGTTTCTTTCTAAAACTCAAATCTAAAACTTACCTATTTCAGACACCTGGGTGGCTGCTCACTGCCCAAAAAACAAGTCCACTTGCCTCTTACGGAGAATAAGGGCTAATGACTCGAACGAAGCAGGAGCCAGATGAACGCGGAGCCAGTCCCAACTCTGAGCCCCCCATTCCACCTCCTCCTGGCTCCTACCCCTGGATGCTTTTCCTGCCCGTGGCACTGACCCACAGCAGGCCGCGCTTGTCTCAGGGCTGCAGAGAAGACACAGGGCTTGGTCCTCAGGATGGGCATGGCCTCCCCACTGGCTGGAGGATAGGAGTCTCCATCCGTCCATTCCTTTGGTCCCAAATCAGGCTGATCCCTCAGCAGGCTCTGCTATGGTCTGAATGTTTGTGTCCCCTCAAAATTGACTTGGGAAATCCTACCCCCCAAAGGGGATGGTATTAGTTAGGTGGAGCCTATGGGATGTGATTAAGTCATGAGGCGGTGCCATCATGAATGGGGTTCATGACCTTATGAAAGAAGCTCCAGAGAGAGCCCCGCCCCTTCCACCACATGAGGACACAGAGAGAAGGTGCCCGGCTACGAACCAGGAAGTGGGCCCTCACCTGACACTGCTGAAAACGTGGTCTTGGACTTCCTAGTCTCCCCAACTGTGAGAAATAAATGCCTATTGTTGGCTCTGTTTCAGCAGCCCCCAAGGGACGAAGACAGGTTCTCAGTACACACACTCTGCCCTCAGTCACCATCACCGGCTCTTACCTTTTTTAGCTTTCTTAGTCTTTGAATCCTGAAAGAACCACAAAATAAGACGCTCGCTGGAGTGAGGAGTGCAGATTTCGGTGCCTTCTTGTAGGCCCCCCACCCCCACTCCTGCCAGGGCCTTTCCTGATCCCAGAGGCAGGGCAGGGTCTCCTAGGGAGCCGTGGGCCCTGCCTGCCCAGTTCCCTCGCTCCTTGCACCTGAGAAGGCTGCCGGGCAGGCAGGTGACCAGCAGAGCTGGGGGCCCTGTACCCCTACCCCATGACCTCAGGAGAGGCCCTCCTCCTCCCTGGCCTTCCTGTGCAATGCTGGGGGTTCAGGGGTGCAGAGCCCCTCCTCCTCCCTCCCACGACCGGGCCCCATGGCCATTCCTTGCCCAGCATCATTTCTGTGGAGAGGGGTCTGGCAGGGGCCTTACTGTACCCTGAAAAATGTCAGCCTGTCGGATTCCATGGTGCGGATCACCCCAAAGTTGCACACAGTGGACACAAGTGGCTCCCCCATCAGTAGGGGCTCCAGGGCCACCAGGCCGCTGCCCAGCACCCGCAGGATGGGTGGGTCCTGGCGGAGTTCCTTAGGAAGTTCTCTCTTCTTCTTGGACCCCTTTTGTTCCTATGGGGAGAGGCCAGGAGGTGACAGGGCCAGGCAGGGACGGTGCCCAGGCGCCCATCGCCACCACCCCAGGCCTGCGGTACCTTAGTCGTCTCTTTCTCCCGTTTCGCTGCTGCCTTGCTGTTCCCATCTTTCCCCTTCTTGCCTTTCTCTTTCTTGTTTTTCTCCCCTTTTCCTTTCGACAAAGGACTGTCGAAGGGAGGTGGCCCTACAGGCCAGGAGAGAATCTAGGAGACAGCAAGACGGTCTTGAGCGAGCATAGGCTAAGCTGGGGCTGGCTGGGATCTTTCTGGAAAGGTGCTGAGACCATGCTAACAAGGGAGCAGGGCTACAGACGCCATGACAGAAAACCGGAACAGGGCAGCGGGGGGCAATGTGTGGACCACAGAGAACTCCAGCACCCACCTTCTCCTCCACGATGGTCACGGTGGTCCCCGCCAGCAGGAAGGCCTTGAGTGGCACCAGGTCCCTGAGCGTGTGCTGCATCTCGTAGTTGCAGTGGATGACGTCAGCCCAGGGCTTGCGGACAGTGCTGAAGAGGACGGTCCTGGGCGGGGAGACGAAGACGGGGTGTCATCACCCAGGACCAGGGACAAGGTGGTGGGGCACTGTGAGAAGACGTGTCCAGAGTGGGACTGGGCGGCCCCAGAGGCTGGGCAGAGATGTGGGCACAGAGGAGAAAGTGAAATGGTGAAGGCCGCGTGGAGACTTCCTTCAGGGGGTGACTGTGCGCTGAACAGGGGATGGAAACCAACCAGAAATGAATCCAAAGAATTTTTTTTTTTTTAATTTTTTTAGCTGAGCCATCCTGCCACCTGTTGGCAGCTCAGCTCAGGTCGGGACTTGAACCGCTGTTGCTCAGAGCTGGCACTCTTGAGCGAGCTCTTAACCAACTGAGCCACTCGGCCGGCCCTATGAATCCGAAGATTATTAAAACTTCCCAGGGCCGGCTGAATGGCTCAGTTGGTTAAGAGTTCGCTCAAGGGTTTGAGCTCTGAGCAACAGCGGTTCGAGTCCAGCCCGAGCTGAGTTGCTGCTGAGCTGCCAACAGGTGGCAGGATGGCTCAGCTAAAAAAAAAAAAAACAAACAAACTTCCCCAAAGTAGGAGTAAAAAAGTAGAATTGTTTCAAATTCCCTGAAGCATTACAAAGCGATACTCTAGTGCCAGTAAAAACTCTCAGGCAGTCACAGGGCTTGACAAACCGAGTGCGGAAAGGCACCTGGAAGAGAAGCAGGAATTCTGAAGAATACACTGAAAAGAGAATAGCAGGGACTTGAACAGGTGTCTGTACAGCAGCGTTCACAGCAGCATTATCCACAACAAATGAGGGATAACCATGCAGTGGGATATTATTCAGCCTTTAAAAAGGAAGTGGTGACACATGCAACAATGTGGACAAACCCTGGAGACATGGTGCCGAGTGAAATGTGCCAGACACAGAACAACAAATACTATATGATTCCACTTATGTGAGGGCCTAGAATAGTCAAATTCAGAGAGAAAGAAAAGAGAAGAGAGGTTCCCAGGGGCTGGGGGTGGGAACAGGGAGTTAGTGTGTTTAATGGAGACAGAATTTCAGTTTGGAGAAATAAAAAAGTTCTGCAGATGGTCAGTGGTGATGGCTGCACAACAATGTGAATGTATAATATTTAATGCCACTGAACTGTGTGCGGTTAAAAATGGTTAAAGTGGGCAATTTTATGTTATGTGTATTTTATCACAATAAAAATAAAATGATGCTGTAAACTGGGAACTCTAGGAATGTGAGGTCATTATTCATTTTCATACCTAGGACCTAGGCTAGTTCCTGGCACACCAAAACAGGTATTTTATGAATGACTAGATTAAGTAATAAATAAGTACATGTTATTTATGCCACCAGATGTTTAAAGCATATTGGAAAGTAAAAATTCTCAAAATAGTAAGATATTAGGTCAAAAGCAGAAACAATGACCCACCCCCAGACCAAAATTCAGAATCAATTAGTATTAGGATATAATATGTGACCATGGTTGGGAAGTGGTGTGACATACATTGTTTTAACAACGGGATTAGAGCATGAAGGAGAATTAATAATATACTATAAGTTTTAAAGTATGTCTGAGTTAAACATTAATAAAAACTAAGGGGAAGTAGGAGTTATTCCAGTACTGATGTGGGAGAAATTTTCCCCTCAAAGAATAGGAGTGGGCAATCAAAGAAAAAGTTATGTATGGATTGAAATATAATAGAAGTTAAACCCAATAAATTTATCCAGTCCAGGGCTCGCAAACCGTGTAAATCAACTGTGCAAAAACAAATGTTAAGAGGAAAACATAAAAATGGAGGAAACATATGTGACGATAACTGATTTTAAAAATTAGTGCTACAGACAGAAAGACTGAGATAGAATGTAAATAGCTGCACTTCCAAGTTAAAGAAATTTCATAACCTCATGACTTAAAAAGAAAAAGCATGCAAAAAAAAACCCTAGCCATAAAATATCATATACAAATACATCAAGGATAACACTCAAAAATCCGCCGGGGGAGTGATGAAAAAGGTTGACACAATCTATTTTCAGACCATTATCTCCACTGTAGTCATTGTTCCCAAACACAAATCTGATTTTGGTACTGCCCTGCTTAAAACTGTTTAATAGTTTCCCCTCAGGAGAAACTAGCCTTTCTTTCTGTCTCTCCACCTTTCTGGCTATTGCTTTCCAACCCCCACCCCGCTTCTTCCATATGGAAGCTTCTTCAGCTGTCTCCTGCTGCGTGCCATTGTAGGGGTACACTTCCCTGTACCGCCCTGGCATAGCGGTTATTATGCAAAGTGCAGGAGAACTGCGGTTTGTTCATTTCCCTCCCAAGATGGGTAATAGAACAGGTCGCTGTCATCTTAACTTGTTTGTAGCGCTCATGCCCAGAACTGCGCCTGGTAAGAGCAATTAATTCTATGGGGTAAGTTAGATGGACGGAGGGGAGGACGTTTTTTTAATTTACATAATGTTTTAAGTGGTAGAATTATTTTGGGCTCTTACTATTTTTGTTAATCTTTCCAAAAACTAAAACAACACCAACAACGGAATCTGCTGTGATGAACTTAGCACCCTGGCACTGACTGGCTGGTTTCCAGTCTTGTCTCAGGCAGCCGGGACAGATGTCCCCTTTGTTCTGTCACCAGTGGGAACCAGGGTGTGGGCCACTTCAGCTCCCCCATATTCTCAACAAGCCAAGTATCATTTACTTTCAGTTGAGTTTTTAAATAAATTTTTTTAAACTTTGTTGAGGAACAGTGTGTTTTTCCAGGACCCATCAGCTCCAAATCAAGTAGCTGTTTCAATCTAGTTGTGGAGGGCGCAGCTCATTGGCCCATGTGGGAATCGAACCGGCAACCTTGGTGTTAACAGCCTGTGGTCTAACCACCTGAGCTAACTGGCCGCCCCTTAAATAATTTCTTTAAATTAATTATTTTAGCACATTTTAAGAGAAGCTAGCTTCTCAAATTCCGTGAGGCCGTCAGCAGCAGATTTGCATAAGGGAAAGCTCAGTTAGTTGGAACTCAGTTACAAATTTTGTTTTCTGCACTCTGGTCACCAGAAAAATAAAATAACAACAAAAGCTGACAGCATGCATTTTGTACCAATAATACCAATAAACCCAAACAAAGCTCGATGTTTTGAAGTTAGTACAAAACCAATTAACAGAACGTTAACACTAAATGAGAACTGGCTCTAAGTTTTTGTAAAATTCTCCATCATCAAAAAAGACTTGTTGGGGCGGCCGGTTAGCTCACTTGGTTAGATCACAGTGCTCATAACACCAAGGTTGCCAGTTCGATCCCCACATGGACCACTGAGATGCACCCTCCACAACTAGAGATGGAAAACAACTACTTGACTTGGAGCTGATGGGTCCTGGAAAAACACACTGTTCCCCAATTTTAAAAAAAAAGAGTCTTCCATGAGACGACCAAAAAAAAGACTGTTGAATAAGACAAATTATGTGAAGCCCGTGGAATGGGCTAGACCAGATTTAGGAAGGCGAGAAAGAACCTGAGTACCAAGCTAGAAGATCCATATCATGTGTTAGATGCCAGAAGTTCTAGATGAATTTAAACAGTTAAACTGAAAAGGCGTTCAACCTTAAGGCTGAAATGAAAAGAGCTGTCCATTTATTATCTGTCGGTTGACTAAAGAAGCCCAAGCATTCAGAAAACCTTGGCCTGAACTCAGGGAGCCAAGACGGAAGAAGAGCCAGACGCTAAACCCACCCACAACTTCGAGGGCAAGAGCCCACCGAGGGAGCGGCCAGGTGAGCCGGGGCCCTGCTGCGGGCCAGGCCGCAGTCCTTACCCTGGGGACGGGCAGAGCAGGGGATTGATGCGCGGCCGCAGCTTGGCCAGCTCCTCTGCAGACCTCGGCAGGGGCATTGACTCGCCCGAGGCCACGGACTCCTCCATGTCTGCCGACCGGGACGTCGTCGTGGGCACCGACTCCACGCGGTCCACAGCCTCTTCCGTGATGACCTCTGCGGGGATCTCGTCGCCTAACTGCTCCACGCTGGGAGTGGGCTTGACGATCTGCCAGGGAAAAACGGAAACCAGGCAGCGCGGCGTCTTCAGGCTCTCCTGGACGCAGTGTGAAAGTGTGTGCAGAGGGCAGCGTTTGGCCGGATGCGATGCCTGAGCACCCGCGTGAACTGGGGAGGCCAGAAGTTAAGAAAACGAAAAAGCCAGTCTTGTTTCTTCTGAGAAGTCTCATGCACCTTGTGCATGAGGGGGCATCCCCACATTTCTCCAAGTCAGTCATTTCCTTGGGTTTCCTCTGATGGGAGGTGCAGGGGTTGGAGGCTGGAGCTGGGAGTAATCAGCCTCATTGTAAAATTCTGGGCTGCTCCCTTGTTCGGCCATTTGCTCTTAATTGAAAGGGACAGAGGGTGAGCGTGGTGGGGAGTTACTCCAGCTGCAAGAAAGGTGCTGAGCGCAAGCCAGCTCCCCGCTCAGGTCGGGTCTCAATCAGGAAGGTCATGTTCAGGACTCCCCTGGGCCTCAAGAAGCCGCTCTGCCTGCGAGGGAGCCCCCCCGCCCCACATCCCCAGGACCAGCCAGAGGGGGAGGCGCACACCTCAGCCAGCACGCCTTCGTATACGTTCCCTTCATCTTCCTCGTCTTCCACAAAGTCGTAGGTCACATAATAGCTGTAGGTGATAAAAGGGCCTTGCGGCCCTTGTTCTGGGTCCAAGACCGAGGTGTCCAGAATCCCTCTGACATTTCCAATCGTCACCACAAACTGTGCCTCGGGTGCCAAAGAGCCTGCAAGGGGGAACAGGCAGGAGTGCGGGGCTCTTGGAGGCGGAAGTGGGAAGACAGCGAGAGAGGGCGGGGCGAGCAGGCTGCCTGGTTCTCCCCTCCACGTGGACTGAGCCTCGGAGTTGGCACACCTGGGTGGGATCCCAGCTGGGCCAAGTTCGAACACACGGACTTTGGGTCTCCTTTTGGTGTGACATCCTTCGTAACCCTTGTTTTCCTGGTCTGTATAATGGGAATGATAGTAGCTGCTTTGCAGGATGGTTCCAGGTTGAGAATAAGTGTTAACCTCAGCACATGCCCTGCATACAGTAGGTGTGGCTATTATCATCAGTGTTTGTCACCCTGACCTTGAGAAGGCTCTGGTGCAGCTTGTGGTGTGGGCCACAAGGGGGTGATCTCAAGCCATCATGGAAGTGAACACACTGATCTAAAGAACAGTTCCCACTCGCCTACGAAAGGAGTGGACCGAGGTGGTCCTGGCCTCCTGACCCCTTCTGTCCCCAAATCCTAATCACAGGGATCAAATCTGGGAGAGAATTTGGACTCAGAAGGTGAGCTGCACCCAAACAGGGTCTGGGTCAACTGGGGAGTTGTGGGGACAGACCACCTCGCAGGGCAACTGATGGGCACATGCCTGCACATTAGCTCCCTCACCCCCACTGTGGCTGAGCCCCCGGAACTGATGGTTCTCACTGGGAGACACAGTGATGTCGTCGAGCGCGCAGAGCCGGGCCAGGCTATCGATGGTGAAGCCCCGGTAATAGGGGACCAGGGCCAGCGGGTTCCCCTGTAGCACCAGCAGCCTCAGGTGCTGTAGAGTGCTGAGGTTGCTCATCATTCTCTGCAGGTCTGTTAGGTCATTGAAGCCCAGGTCCAGAGAGACAAGGTGGGGCCTGGAAGGTGCACAGGACCATCAGGAGGCAGGAGGCCAGCCTGCCCACCTCCCCCAGCACCCCCGAGTCCTGGACGGACAGGGGGCCCGATGCTGAGGGCGGGAAGGGAGACTCTGCCCATCACGGCTCCTTGGGTGGTCCTTGACCCAATTAGTGCCTCCCCCCATCAGGCAAGACCTCCTGGCTCTACTGTCCCCTCTCTCTGCGACACTGCCATCCTCATTGTCACATCCTGCCTCCACCTGACTTCTATAGACACAGATCTTCTCTTCTAGGTTAAACGTCTCCCATGGAGCCTGAGACGGTGTTGATTTTGTGCATCTAGAAGGTTCTCAACAAAGACAGACAGACTGGCAAGGCAGGTAGAGGGAAGCCACTTTGGAGAGGAGCAGTGGGTGGGGGTAGGAGTGGCAGGTCATATGGGGACCTGGGAAAGGGTTGCAGAGGCTCGCAGGGTCTAGGAGCTGGAGGGCGCTTTCCGAGGCTGGGCTGGCAGTTGGGGGCACGTGGGTGGAGAATGCACACCAGTGACGACAGAGGAGGTGAACAGGGCCAAGGAGGGGGCAGGGTGGTTTCCCCACTGAACAGACTAGAAAGCAAACTGATTTCAGCTCCAAGAACAGAGGCAAGATAAAGACGAGGAGACACCACCTCAGCACAATCTCTCTCAATCACCCCCGCAGTCTCCCGCTGACCGACTCGGGTATTTCCTCTCCCCATCCTCAGTCCTGCCAGTGATGCTGGCCAGGAAATACATGAGAAGAACATTTTGTGGGCCCGGCACACAGACCTGACCCAGCGTTAGCCTCCTCCAACAGAACTACGGAAAGCATGAACAAGGTCGGGTCACCAGACAACCACCCTCCTTTTAAGTTCAAAACAGTGAAGGATGGAGGTTTTTAGGAAATCCACACTCGGCATTAGCAGGTAACCTAGGTGTGTGGTGAATGTTATTTTCCAAATTAAAAATCCAAACACTTGGTACTCTGTCCATGGTGCAAGTGTGAAGTCCAAGTGTACGCCTCCATCCTGCACTACACTGCGCTCGGTGGAGAAGGCGATGGAATCGTCCGTGCGCGGCCTAGGCCGTGTGGAGACAGTGTGGCCACGAGGAGGAGAAACAGAAGGACGAAGGAAATTATGGTCAGAGAGAGGGACCTTCCAGGAACGCATTTCCCAGGTCACGTGGAAAAGTAGGGAAGCGAGGCTGACCTATGCCCTCTGCCCCTTCCGGACCACGAGGGAAGGAACCCCAGGAAGCGCCACCCAGGACGCTGAAACCCTGGGCATCTATCTTCCCAGCCTGCTCCATCGAGCCTTCCTGGCCTCCGATGGCCTTTTGGGGGTGGCCTCTGATCCCCCAGATGCCTCAGATCCGGGATTTTCAGTTTCCCACTGTTCGCCCACCAAGGGGACAAGAGTTGCCTGTAGGGCAGCAGCTCTCAGCTCAGGGCGATTTTGTCCCCAGCAGACCTCTGACACTATCTGGAGACATTTCAGTTGCCACATTTCGGTGGACGTTTTGGTGTGGGGCGGGTGCTTCCGGCATTGAGGGGGTAGCAAGGCCAGGGATGCTGCTCAGCATCCTCCCGTGCACAAGGCCACCAAATGTCAACAGCGCCCCCCTCGTGAGACCTCACCCTAAAAGGGGAGTGAAGGTCCGCCTCACTCTGTTTATTCAGAGAAATAAACCTGAGGTCTGGAGCCAACCACCAGTTACTACAGCAAAGAGCAGAGCTGGCTCCTTCAAGCCACCAAGGTGGAACGCCCAAACCTAACGCTTTGTTCCTTCCCCTCACTCCCCATTTGGGGTTCCCGAGTTACCAGTGTCGGGCGGTGAGGTACAGACTCTGCGAGGGGCCCAGGAGCTTGTTCTGCCCTAACCCCAAGTGCTGAAGGCAGGGGGGCGGGCGCACGCACAGACACTCCATGCTGCTGATGCTGTTGCCGTAGAGTTCCAACACCTGGGGACAGGGGCGGGGACAGCCATGAGAGCCCGTCACCACACCTCTGAGTCCTTCCTTCCTTCCACCCTGGGAAGCTCAGGCCACACCTCCCCGTGTCCACCTGAGTCCCTTATAAAAACCCTGGGAGAGACTATCCCGGTAGCAGGTGTTGGAAAGTTTCTTTTTCTTTTGCGAAGGACACTTTAAAATCAGGACTGGGAGGTGACTTTGGGGAGGGTGCATAACATGGCAGCTTCTCCACCCAGAGCAACACGTCTCTGGGAAAGCTGGAGGGACCCTGCATGGAATACAGAATCAGCCTGAAGAGAACAGCGGGTTCCTGTGTTTCTCCTCCAGGGCCTCGCTGGGTGTTCTCTTGGGGACGCCACAGTCCTCAGTCCCTTCTGCCACTAAATCTACTAATCTCAGCATCTCACTTAAAATGGAGACCATTGTGATATGCTCAGCTGAAGACTCATGATAAAGCCTAGCCTACCTTTTTTTATTTTTATTTTTTTTAAGCTGAGCCATCCTGCCACTAGCCTACCTTTTTTAAAAAACTGTTTCTTATTGTGGTAAAATATAGGTAACAACTGGCCCTCTTAACCACTTTGAAGTATAAAATTCAGCAGCGTTAAGTACATTTCACATTGTTGTACAACCGTCATTACTGCCTAGTTCCAAAATCTTTCATCACCCCCAAACAGAGACGCCACACCCATCAAGCTACAACTCCCCACGGCCCCCAGCCCCCACTGCCCCTAGTAACCGCTCCCCTCCTTTCTGTCTCATCTAGTACGTGGCCTTTTGTTGTCTGGCCTCTGTCACTCAGCATCATGTTTTCCTCCACGGTGTGGCACGTGCCATTCCTCTATTCCAGGGCTGGACCACATCCTGCTTATCCATCATCTGTTGATGGACACTGGGGCTGTCTCCACTTTTTTGGCTACGGTGAATAATGCTGCTAGGAACACTGGCGTAAAAGAATCTGGGTCCCTGCCTTCAATTCTTCTGGGCTATTCCTAGGAAGGGAATTGCGGGGTCCTAAGGAATTAGACTTGTTGAGGAATTTGGCCCACCTCTGAAAAGCCTGGGGCGGGGCCTGAGCACACAGCCACAATGCCGCACCTCCTGTGTGCAAGGCAGGCTCAAAGGCCCGAGATGGAACTCGGGGCTCCTTTACCTTGAGAGTTGGGGGCAGATTGATGGCGTCAATCTCCTTGATTTGATTAGCACTCAGTACCAACTCTTCAAGCTTTGAAAATTTCAGGAGGTCTTTATCCACCAGGCTCACCTGGAAGAGAAGGAAAGGAAGCTAAGAACTCTGGTGGGCGCAGCTGGGCTGCAGCAGGTCTACAGGAAAAAGTACTGCCAGGTGCCAGCTGATCCACCTGCAGATGCCTCCCCACATCCTTCCCCTTCCGCTCCTGGGAGGCTTTCCAGCATCATTCTGCCAGGATCCCAGTGTCTCAGCCATTGTAGTTCCCTCTCCCCTCGTCAGGCCTCACCCCTGCTCCGACTGTCGGCGCTGTACAACTTCCAGCTCAGTGTCCTGTCCCACTGTTGGACTGTGAGCTCCCAAGGGCGGGGATCCCACCTCCTTTACTGTCTCCCCCAGAGCCACAGTGAACCCAAAGTTCTAAAGGAGTGTTTCTAGTTTACACACGACGGGATCAGACAGAAGCTCAGAGCCTGTCCGAGAGCCCCTCAGTTCTCTGTGGCCTCCAAGGCATTAAGGGCCCTTCCTGACAGCCTCTCTTCTCTCGGGTGACCGACTATGCCAGCTTGCCTAGGTTGGAGGGGTTCCAGGGACATGAGGATGTCAGCGCTAACACTGGACGAGTCCCAGGCAAAGCGGCAGGAGGTGCTCCTCCTCCTCATCCCTCCAAGTACTGTGTAATTCAGTTTCTCTAGGAAAGGACAAGCAAACTCAGGAAGGCCGAGGCTACATTTCCATGCAGTGTGGGGGCTCTGTTGTGGACATATAAGCAAAGAAGGCTTTTTAGGAACAGAAATTACTATAGTACTATGCTGCCCCCACCCCCACCCCTGGCACCCACAGTTTAAATTAAGTAAAACCAATATGAACACCTTAAAAGGTCTCTACTAGGACCCAGGAAGGCCGACTGCAGGGTGCTCCAGACATCAACACTGGAAGATACACAGTGGAATCCCACCCAGAGCGAAGAAAGAAAAAGACACATAAAGAGGAAGTGAACAGCTGACTCTGCTTGGTGGACGAGCTGGTGGGATTAACTAGAAGGACAGAGCTACCCCCAGCCCCCTCCCACTTAACGCCTACATCTTACCACTCAGTGCTGTAAGGGGGCTAGCCTCCTAGTCAACTCTGTGTGCTGGTGCCCGCTGCCACACTCACCTGCTTGTCCACCACCTGGAGGGACCTGAAATAGGAGTAGAAGAAGGTGTCTTTGAGCATCAGGGGATTCTGGATGGCCAGTTGTCTCAGAAAACGGTCCTCTGCACTGGAGCCCTCTAGTGCAGCCCAGGGTGAGTGGGGGCTGCAGACCAGGCCCAGCAGCTCCTCCATGGGCTCCTCCCCGGGGCTCCCGGTGGCCTCCTCTCTGGGGATCAGATCCTTCCATGTTCGCCAAGTTCGAGGAAGAAAGCGAGACTTATTCTGCAGTGGTAAAGGTGGAGAATTTCTCTAGTTATGACTCAGCCCTCTCAAGGATTCAAAACTCACAAAACTGAACAGATTGTAAAACAGGACAATCAGGGATAAAGAGTTTAGAAACTTAGGCAGTGAGTAATCGATACTTTGGACTGATCATCAGCCATGGATAGAACTACAGACATGGGAAGATAAAAAAATAATAATAAAAAGGTCCATTCCTTGGGCCGGCCGAGTGGCTCAGTTGGTTAAGAGTTGGCTTAAGAGTGCGAGCTCTGAGCAACAGGGCCACCAGCTCAATTCCCACATGGGTTAGTGAGCTGAGATTTCCACAACTAGATTGAAGACAATGACTTGAGCTGAGCTGCTGCTGAGTTGCCAGTGGGCGGCCAGGAGGCTCAGCTGGTTAGAGCTGGTTGGACCCCTGCATGGGATGGTGGGTTGCACCCCTAATAAAATGGTGACTGGACTTGAAAAAAAAGTCCTTTCCTGCCTTTAGGAGTTTGCTCTTGAGCTGGGAACCTTGAAGGTGTAAGTAAAAGTGATTAAACATTTAAAAAAAGATTTATGTCCTAGAAGCCAGGAGGCACAAAGGGCAATCTATAAGATGTAATTAATCAAGGAAAGGTTTTTGAAGAAGAGGTGGCAAGGCTGAAAAGGTAAATTTAGGGGTGACCGGTTAGCTGAGTTGGTTAGAGTGTGGTGCTGACAACACTAAAGTTGCCGGTTCAATCCCTGCGTGGGCCTCTGTGAGCTGCGCCCTTTCTAAAAAGCATCAACTATGTCATTGTAGCATGAAAACACTATGTAACCAATGACTATGGCTGTTCCCCAGTAAACTTTTTTTAAAAAAAGATAAATTCAGAGCCTTTAGGTGCTATAAGTGGAACATCATGGAATTTGTCCCAAGTTTACATTCATTCTAGCCCCGTGCCCGGTCCTCCAGGAGACTCTTAAGCGACATCTATGAAACCTTCAAGGTCATTACAATGTCAGGCACACAGTGTGCTCAATCAATGTTCGTTAAGGAAATACCAACTTCCCCTTAGTGCTGACGAGTGTCTGGGGCCCAGTTTCCCACGGAGTCCCCGGAACCGGTCCGCATTCAGGATACTCCCGCGCACACTTGAGGAAACCCCCGGTCTCCTTGTTCTGCGCCTCCTCCCCACCATGGGCACCTAGCTGATGACTAGCTGATGACATGGCCCCTCTGGCCACATCGTAGCTGCAGGCCCTGCTCTCAGGATGAGCTTTCCACCTCGAAAGGAGCCTGGTGTCTTTAAGAGAGCGAGAGGCCCTGCCCAGATCAGTCTGATGGACTCAGGTTGGGGGTCCCTGCCCTCCACCCTGGGTCAGCGCCCACGTGCCCAGGTGGGGGCCCCTTCCGCCCACCCCTGCAGTGTCCCACCCCCTCAGTCCATGTCCTCAGCCCCGCAGCCACCCCAGCTCAGGCCGTTCCCTAAACGCCCAGATGCAAACCTCCTCAGGCGTCTCCAGACCGGGCCCCTCGGCCCTACCAGGCCCCGCTTTCAGTCCCTAGGCCCTGGCCAGCCCCTGGCTCATGCCCTCCGACCCCAGGTCCCCGAGTCCCTCTGGCCACCCGCGCCGGCGTCCGCACCCAGCTGCCCACGCCGCACGGGAATTCATGCAGACACAACTGCCTCAGGTGCTCCTGAACCGCGACGCTCACAGTCCCGCCGGGCGCCTCCATGGCCGCGCGACCGCCACGCCCTGCACGTTGCTAGGCAACCGCCGGGACGCGCGCATGCTCGAACCCAGGGGGCGCGCAGCGACGTGGGCGCGCCGGGATCCCAAGAGTTCCGGGTGGTGCAGACTTTCTCCCGCCGGGATTCCCGAGATCCCCGACTCAGTCCCAGAGGACCTGGGTTTTCTCTTCCGGCCTCGTGTAAAACGGGGTGACAGTACACGTCCCACCACAACTGGGGCTCCCAGCAGGTGCCGAGCGCTTCCCATGCGCCAGTCTGTTTCTATCGTATTTCTCCTCCCAAGAACCCTGGGAGAAAAGTGCTGTAATGCACTTTTTATCCCCATTTGACTGATCTGCAATGACCCCAAGGTCAATCTCAAGATTCTAACTAGTGGATTCCAGTGTGAGTCTCTCTAACGCCTGGGTCAGAGGGTTGTAATCACTGTCTACATTTTTAACCGTTTCATCACCAAGACCCCATTTTACACTGATCCAGCCTTACCACTCCATCCTCAGAGTATCTAGCCCACTGCCGGTCACACAGCAGGGTGTGTCTCCTGGGCACTAGTTTATGAAATTAATGGGATGATTCTGGTTCCTAGCATTTGGACATGCAACATTTTTATTGAGATATAATTTACATACTCTAAAATTCGCCCCTTTAAAGTATACAATTCTGTGATTTTTAGTATATTCACAGTGCAACTATAGTCGTAGTGCAACTGTCACTGTAATCTAATTTTCAATTTTCCTCATCCCAAAGGAAACCCCATCCATACCCATGAGGCAGTCACTCGCCATTTCCTCATCTCCCCAGCCCCTGGCAACCACTAACCCACTTTCTGTCTCTGGACACAAAGCTTCTGGATATTTCATATAAATGGGCTTATACAATATTTGTTCTTTTGTAACTGGCTTCTTTCACTCAGCATCATGTTTTCAAGGTTCATCCATGTTGTACGTGTGTCAGAATTTCTTTCCTTTTTATGGTGGGATAATATTCCATTGTGTGGATAGACCACAATTTGTTTATCCATCATCAGTTAATGGACATTTGGGTTGTCTTTACTTTCTGGCTCTGACGAATCAATGAACATTCATGTTCAAGTTTTCATGTGAACATATGTTTCCGTTTCTCTTGGAATGAAATTGATGGGTCATGGTGGTAACTCTATGTTTTATCGTTTTGACCACTACCAAACCATTTTACACAGAAGATGCACCTTTTTACATTCTCACCAGCAATAGATGAGGGTTCCAATTTTTTCATATCCTCACCAACACCTGTTATTTTACTTAAAAAAAATTATAGTCATCTTAGTAGGTGTAAAGTGGTACTTCACGGTGGATTTTATGGGCATCTCCTTAATGCCTAACTAATGACAGTGAGCATCTTTTCATGTGCTTATTGGCCATTTATATATCTTTTTTGGAGAAATGTCTATTTAAATCCTTTGGTTATTTTCAAGTTGAGCTAATTTTCTTTTCATTGTTGAGTTGTAAGATTTTAAAATATATATTCTGGATACTAGCTCCCTGTAGTATATATGATTTGGAAATATTTTCTCCCATTCCGTGGGTTGTCTTTTTACATTCTTGATAGTATCTTTTGACAAACAAAATTTTTAATTTTGAGTAAGTGTAATGTATCTATTTTTTCTTTGGTAGCTTGTGCTTTTGGTGTCATTTTTAAGAAACCATTCATTGCCTAAGCCATAAAATTGACATTTGTGAGCTCTTATGTATTCTGCTCAATAGTTCTTTGTCAGATTTGTGATTGGTAAATATTTTCTCCTGGGCGTAGGCTTTACTTTTATCCTCTTAACAGTGTCTTTAGAAGAGCAAACATTTTTTAATTTTGAGAAGTCCAACTTACTGATTGTGATCCTCCCAAAAACACCCACCTTGGTGGACAGCTATCATTCTTTTTGATTTTCCTACAGGAGAACATCTTTACTATTATTAGAAATTCTCCAAAATTGGGAAATTGGGCAAAAAGAGAATCATGTCCTTTCAAAGAATAAAATAAATATCCATTAGTCTATTGTGATATAAACCCATTAAAAAGACGAGTCAAGGATGACTCACAGGATTTTGATGAAGCAACTGGGTGGTTTCACTTTTTTCTCACTTCTCAAACCATCACGATATGGTTTCCGCCCCAGCAATTTATCCAAATTCCTCGAGGAAAATTCCCAGTGACCTCATGTTCCCCAACTCATTGACTCTCTTCAGCCTTTATCTTAATCGATCTTTTTGTGGCTTAAAATGGGGTCAATTACTTCTTCCTCCTTGCAAACCACTTTTCATCTTGTTCCATGACAACATGTTTTTCTGTACACTTCTTGCCCTCTCGAGAGTGCCTTCACAGTGTTCTGGGCTACATCATCGTCCTTTCCCTCTTCTGTTAATGGAGGTGAGCCCCCAATCTCCACACCTCAACTTATACACCTCACGTCAGTCATCTCTTGCAGGCTTACAGTTTTATCAACTACAGTACACAGATGACACCCAAATTTATGCCCTTCCTTCAAGCTCCCAATCCCAATGTCCATTGGCCTGCTGTATGTCTCTACCTGAGTTCCATAACACATCTATACCACCATGTCAAAAACTGAATTCATCACTTCACCCAAGCCCTGTGATCCTGTTTTTTGTTTGTTTGTTTTTAATTGGGGAATTGGGGGATGGGAACAGTGCTGGGGAATTGGGGGAAGGGGAACAGATAAGTTGCTGTCCTTTTGGTCTTCAGTCTAGTTATGGAGGACATTGCTTCACTGGCCCAAGTTGGCACCATCATTGTGCTCTTCCCGGGTGAGGAAGATCAGTTGCCAGCTTCTGGACAGCCGCTCACGCTGGCTGCTGGCTACCCACAGTAGCCCATGGCAACCCACTGCCACAGGGGCTGCAGCCTATGCCGTCACCGGCGACTCAACGGCAGCCCAGCTCCAGGTTGAGCTGTTGTTCAGCATCTTAGCTGTGGAGGGCAGTGTCACTGGCCCACATATGTGGGATCCGAACCGGGGCCCTCTGGTGTCCCAAGCCAGTTCTTAACCAACGCGCCACTCGGCCGGCCCCTGTGATCCTGTTTAAATAGCAACACCATCCATCCATTTGCCCAAACCAGACACCTATGAGGTCTCCTCAACTTCTCCCTTTCCATGCTCTCTGTATCCAATCAATCACCATCTCTTGTGCTTTTACCTTCTAGAGATTTCTCCAGTCCATCCACATCTCTTCATCTCCACCCTCACCATTATCCTGGTTCAGATCCTCAATCTTGGACACGTCGAGTGTGAGGTGCAGGTGGGACACTCAGGTGGAGACGTCCAGTAGGCAGCTGGACATTTAGATCTGGAGTCTGAAGAAAAGAGATACTGAAATGTGAGGAACATAGGTCAAGGGTGAAGCCCTTGGAGACACGTCCATTAAGGAGCCCAGCAGGAAGGTGATCCAGCCTCAGAAGGAACTGTCAGAGAGGCCAAAAGGTATCAGGATAATGTTACCATGGGACGAGAGGAAAAAGAGGTTTTCAAGAAGGAGGAAGTGATTGGCATTATTGCATGCCATGCCTCGAGGGGACAAGTAAAATGAAGTCTGAAAAGGACCCAGTAAGGCTGGCAACATGAGGTCACTGGAGACCATATTGGTTCTTTTTTTTTTTTAAGATTTTTATTGGGGAATTGGGGGATGGGAACAGTGCTGGGGAATTGGGGGAAGGGGAACAGACAAGTTGCTGTCGTTTTGTTCTTCAGTCTAGTTGTGGAGGACGTTGCTTCACTGGCCCAAGTTGGCACCATCATTGCGCTCTTCCCGGGTGAGGAAGATCAGTCGCCAGCTTCTGGACGGCCGCTCACGGCGGCTGCTGGCCGCTCACGCTGGCTGCTGGCTACCCACAGTAGCCCATGGCAACCCACTGCAAGCAGGGGCTGCAGCCTACGCCGTCGCCAGCGACTCACGGCACCAGGTTGAGCTGTTGTTCAGCATCTTAGCTGTAGAGGGCAGTGTCACTGGCCCTCAAATGTGGGATCCGAACCAGGGCCCCCTGGCGTCCCAAGCCAGCTCTTAACCAACGCGCCACTTGGCCAGCCCGAGACCATATTGGTTCTTTATTGTTCCTGTGACAAATGCCATACACTTCGCTGTTTAAAATCGCAAACTTGCTGTCTCACAGTTTCTGTAGGTCAGAAGTCCAGCATGGGGTAACTGGGTGGTTCACCACTCAGGGTCTTACCAGGCTACAGTCAAGGTGTCGGCTGGGGCTGCTGTTCTCACCTATGGCCCAGTCCTCTTCTAAACTCAGTGGTCAGTGGCCAAGTTCATTTCCTCCTCATGCTTTCCACTTGGCCCTCTCCATCTTCAAGCCAGCAATGGCAGGTGTGTCTTTCTCATGCTTCAAGTCTGTCTGCCTTCCTCTTTGTTTTTAAGGGCTCATGTGACTTCTTTGGGCCACCTGGTAATCCATCTTTCTTAAGGCCACTGATTGGTAACCAAAATTACATCTGCAAATTCCCTTCCGCCATGTGATGGAACATAATTACCGGTGTAAACACCAGAGGATAAGTCATGAAGCAAAATTCTGCCTCAATAGATTTCATTAGAGGTTTTTAAATAAGTTTTTGGGGTAAAAAACATTTTGGGGTTGGGGGTTGGGAAGTGAGGTGAAAGTGAGCCTAGAGCATTCTGTCAAGAAGCTTGGATGAGAAGAGGAAAGAGGCCAGCAGTGGCTGGAGGGGGACTTGGAGTTAATGGTGGCAGAGGGTCCATGGATGTCTCTTTATTGTGCATCTTGAGTCCTGTGGACCACCATGGCCTGACCTCGTCCCTATGCTCTTGACGCTTATCCAATGGCCGACTTGACATGCAGTAGATGCCCAGTAGGCATCTCAAACTTAAATCATTCAAAACAGGACTCTTTGTTTCCCCTCTCTAGATCTTCTTCTTCTTATCCTTCAGCTCCAAGTCCAGTCACCATCTGGCCACCCGACAGCAGCTCAGTGGCAGCTCAGCTCAGGCGCAACTCACTGGCCCATGTGGGAATCAAACCGGCGACCCAGTGAAAGCTCGCGCTCTTAACCAACTGAGCCACTCGGCCGGCCCTAAACTTCTTTTCCCTCACTGTACGTCAGCCACCCAATTGCTTTATCAAGATCCCAGGTGTCATTCTCGATTCCTCTCACTTCATCTCCACATTATTCCATCAGCCAGTTCTGTAGACTCCATCTCCATCCACCCTACGCTGTCCAAGCCACCATCATCTCTCACCTGGACAGCTGCAGAACCTAATTGGCCCTCTGCTTCCATCTTGGATTCCCACAATCCATTCTCCACTCAGTAGCCTATCCTTTTCCTTGCTTCTTAATGTGAACCAGATCCTATAGTTCCCTACCTACAGCCATTCCGTGGTGCCTCGTCACGCGTGGAATAAAACCCAAGGTCTTGATCCTTGTGAGACCCTTGTGACCTAGCCTCTGTCCACCTTTCCACTGCCCTCCCCTTCTGTCACTTCATTCCAGCTTCCATGGCCTGCTTCCTGTGCCTGGCCCCAGTATGTCCATTTTTGCCTGAGCACTTTTGCCAGAGCATTCTTTCCTCCTATCTTCCCGCAGCAGGCTCCTTCTCATCTTTCAAGTCCCAGCTTGAATATCACCTCCTCAGAGAGACTTTTCCTGATCACCTGACTTACAGTATCTCGGCTGTCACTCTCTACCCCATCACATAGTCTGAGTTTTACAGCCCTTGTCACTGCCGGATACCTTCTTGTTGATGAATGCCGTGCTCCTTGCCCACTAGAATTCCAGTTCCATGAGGGCAGGGACGTTGTCTAACTTTTTTGCCCCCATTCCGGAAGCCCTAGAAGGGTGCCTCGTCAAAGCTGACCCTCAAACTATGAATAAGCGATTTCATCAAAGAACTCCTGAGCATGGCTTTTGGTTCTAGGCCCTGCAGTTGCAAAGACACCGTTGAAAGTCCAGTGATGTTCAAGGGCCACGCAGAGGGAGATAAAGCCATTGACGTACCACATTCACGGTGGTTATCAGGGCCATCCCCGTATGCCGGCATGGGCATGCTTCAGAAATTTACAAAGATAACGCATTCTGCAAACTTCATGCTAGCTTTACGCCTACGTGCATTCAACTATGACCCTCCCCAGAAATTCCCTATGGGGCACAGGCCCACAATTCCTGTGTCATCAGTTTCTTGGTGGTTGTGTCTGTCAACGCTGGGCTTCAAATTTTCTTCTCGTCACATCAACAAGCTCTTTCCAAGAAGAAATGGCAAAGACGTGTGTGTCTTCCTGTGTGCCTGTGTGTGTCTGTACTGAGTCAGGCATCTGCCCACCTTGAGGGTAACCTCAGCATTTCCTTCCAGCCCTGCTATCAGCCAGCCTTGGGTAGCAGAAATTTGACAGCGTTTTTCTGGGGAAAAAAATGCTGAGCAATGATCTTGCCATGGGCGGGACGCTGGTTGTTCTTCCTCACAGCCGGCCCTTTAAATATCTGCTGGGACCATGGCGAACACATCAGGCTCAAGAAGCTGCGGCCGAAGCAGGAGCTACTCCTTCTCACCATGGTCTCCCGCACAGGTAATGCTGTGTCCTGCTGCCCGTTTCTTGTCAGAGTTTTGTCTCACCAGACGGAGAGGAAGACTCTGGAGGGGCTCAGCCCCGTGGTTGCTCAACGACGGCTGACTGACTGAAGCTGCGTGGGGAGGGAGTGTCTGCCCGTTGGGCCTCACAGCATCATTCTCTTTCTCCAGGACCTGCCGGGCTCGCCCTGTTCCTGCTCTGCTGTGTAGGATCCTTGCTGTCCTACCCTGTGCCACCCAGAGATAACTGTGTGCAAGGAAGGAGAATCAAAGAATTACAGCTCTCGTCTAAGGAACTTTTGCAAAACTACGTAAGTGCCCTACAGATTTCTTTTGCAAGTCATGTCTTTAAATTGCCTTCCATTGGCCCCAGCAGGGGCTCTTTTCAGAACTGAAGTTAGGGCTGTGGACATGCCAGGAAGGGATGGGGAACAACTAAATAGGCTAGGGGGGGATTTTTATGAGGAGAGGAGTCAGAGCGATTAGTCCAGCCAGCCAAATACTCAACAATTTGTTCTATATGATAGGATCTGCTCTGGCAGGCTTGCTTACCTAACGCATTTGGTTCACAGTAAAATTCAGTGAGTTTTCTGGCCTGGGGCACATCCCTTAAGATGGGCCATCTTGCCCACCCATTCAGGAGCCTGCTAAGGAACAGTGAACGCCAAGCTAAGCTGTACACAATGTCCCCAAGAATGCAGGATGTTAAAAATCCTCACGTGGGTCACAGAGAGTGTTTCTTACCACGGAGAAGGGCAGTTGACAACTTAGGTGTCTGCCTGCATGCCGCCTCATTTACCTAAGACCCAGTCTGTTTCTACAAAAGGCTCTGCTGAGCCAAACCCGTCTGCAGGCTACAGAAGTATAAATAGTCCCTCATTCCCTCAGGGTTGTGATAAGACAGAACCTTTTAGGCACCTTTGATTAGACAAATAGAAACCAAACCGTGAAAACCGTGTGTGACACTGGCCTTGCCCTTGCTTTCCACCCTGGCATTTAAACCTTAGCCTTGGTTTTTATAGACACAGCGGCAGAGGTTGTTATCGGCTCTTCCGTGGAACCCCAAAGCTCTTCGTCCTTAGGAAGAGGGACAGGGGAGGGTGTGGTCTGGAGTCTGGGTGTGTTTGGAAAATCCCTCCCTGGCATCTTGGAGGCCTCTCTAGACAAGCATAAAACCCCCTCAGTAAGCGGGAGAGATATTGGCTTTAACACAAAGTCACCAAGAGCAAGCAGTGGCACGGGGTTTCCAGCTCCCCACCCATCTGTGCCCCTGAGCAACTAGGAGCAGATTCCAGAAGGCTGTGGAGGCCTCAGCCAGGTGGGGCAGGGGAGGCAGGCTGGGGCAGTGGTTGGTAGCACAGGCTTCATAATCGCTGCCCGACGTGGGTTGGAATCCGGGTCTGCCACTTGATCTTGGGCCAGCTCAGCAAACCGACCAAGCTTTGTTTCCATTAGTGATAATCACAGCCTGTAGGGCGGCTGCGCCGATGAGATGAGATGCAGGGAGTGGGGGAGGCTCGCTGGTCATAGAGGAAGCATTCAGAAGGTACCAGTTGGGATTTCTAGCAAACCTAATGCTCGTCTGTCTCTCCTGTTTGTTCTACCCCAGAAGGATGAGGAGAGGGTGCTGAAATCTACGCCTTACCCGCTGCCGAGCTTCAACTTGTCCTGCCAACCCCCAAACATCATCAACTCCTCAAACATCCTGCCTTATTTCAGGGCAATCCAACCATTCTTAAACAACGAAAATGTCAATGAAACCATAGGCCATCTCGACAGACTCAAGGGCGGACCAGAAACAGAAGTGTCAGTGCCTACAGATGCCTTTCTTCGTAAAAGGTTCATCTTGGCTGTTTTGCGAGAGTTTTCTACGTGCATGGAATCAATGAGCCCCATGAAGATATGTGAGGACTTTAAAAAAATAAAAATGAGTGATAGCTAAGTGTGTGAACTTGGCAGTGGGTTATGAAATTATCCCACTGCATAGTGCCAATGAACCCCCAGATGGACCAGTCCAGGGGGCACTGAGATACAAACATAGGGGTGAACTTCAAACAGATTTCGAATGCTGTATTGTTACTAGTCCTGGTATTTATAGAATGTTTCTCTCCTGAGGACTAAAATCTTATTTATTCTTATTATACCCTTGTCTGTTAACTTATTGATATTTATTGTATTGAGAGGTGTTAACGCTCCTTTGAGAAGCCCTAAGAACCTATTTAATAAATTATTTTGAATTTTTCTCATCATCTGTTTTGGATTTTGTGAAGGGGTTACAGTGAGTGACCGGGAAGTCAGGCTGGGTGGCGCTGTGGCTGAGGGAGCATGGGACATGCTGTGAAAATACATGCCACTTCTGTCACTGCCATCTCTCCCCACCGGACAGGCTCAGTAGCAAATGATAGTAATTCTAGTGGTAACACCCATTCATTGAGCGTTGTCTTTATGCCAGGCTATGTAAGGACTATTAGTGTCCTCTTTTTAAGGGTGGGGAAGCTGAGGCAAAAAAAGTTATTTACTCACTTGCCCGAGGCCACAAAGCTGTTGAGTGATGGGACCCAGAATCAAGCTGACTCTTCACCACTGTGTCCAACCGTTGTCCCTCCCCGGGCAGTGACTGGGTCTTCGGGGCACTTAATGCCATGGTTGGCACAGAACAAGCATTCAAGGGTCTAGTGCATGGTTTCCCATGGGGTTTCCAGTGTCCCTGCTCCTGCGAAGGCCTGTTCCTTCATTTCATCAGGGACTTCTTCATAGCCAGGGCCAAGAGTTGGTCATTCGAATGAATGTGACGTCCACAGCTGTCGGAGGTTCTTGGAGATCATCTGGACTAGCGGTTCTCAAAGTGTGTTCTCTGGACGAGCAGCAGCTGCGTCACCTGACTGCGTGTTAGAAATGCAAACCATTGGGCCTTCCCCCAGACCTACTGAACCAAGTAGTTTGGGGGTGCAGCCAGCAACCTGTGCTTTCATGAAACCTCCAGGGGATTCACACACATGCTCAAGCCTGAGCAATTCTGACCTTGAGTCGACCAGCACATTCATCTATATCTTATTTGAGGGGAAACTGAGGCCCAAGGAGATAGTATGATTTCCCCGAGATCTCATACAAGGGGAGGGGGGATGAGGTTAAGACTCTGAGATGGGCAGTTTAGCCTTGGACTTCTTCTCATTCTCACTCTTGTAAGGATTTCTACTTGTAAGTCCAACACCAGGTTTTCAAGCCCTCAAATATGCTAGCCATCAAAGACAATGTTTTGGTCAATCCTTCCCAAAATACCCCGTGGTGGATAGCTATCATTCTTTTTGACTGTCCAATATCAAAACACCTTTACTATTACTAGAAAAATTATCCAAAATTGGGAAATAAGGCAAAAAGATAATCATATGTCTTTCCAAAGAATAAAATAAATATCCATTGGTCTGTAGTGATATAAATAAATAGATGGAGGAGAAAGGGAGGAGTGTTCCTTACACAATTCGAATTAAACAACATAGGAAGAGGAGGGAAATAAAAAATCGCCATTAGAGCACCACAGCGCTAATGGCCCCGCAGCGTCTGTGCAGGAATGGTCAATGCGTTGGCACAGCTTGTAGCAGAAACAGGAGTTTGCACAGCCTCGCAGCACCTCCCCCAGACGTTTAACTCACACCCACAAATTCTTGGTTATTCCTCCTCCAGGAGGTGGAGCGGGGCTCCCCAGCCATTGACCATAGCAGGACGTGGTGACCTGCCTCTAAAGCAGGGACAGAAGGAAAGACAGCGACTGGGTGGGGCAGACACACGGCTGACACCACTCTGAGCGAGGTAGCAAGGCAGTCACCACCGGTCAGTGGGTATGAGGGACCCAGAATGGAAGGGGTCTCCCCCAAGTCCACAAGATTGGCCTCCTCACAAAGAAACATCAGACCAACCCCAATCGAGGGACATTCTACAAAATCCCTGACTGGCACTCTTCAAAAGTGTGCAGCTCAGGAAAACCAACGGAAGGACTGACAAGCTGTCACAGACTGGAGACCGAGGGGACACTAGGGTTGCATGCAATCTTGGAGGGAACCCTGACAGGGAACATTAGTGAACAAACTTTACTGGTGTTAATTTCTTAGCTTTGCTCAACCACAGTTAGGTAAGATATTCGTATTTAGGAGAAGCTAGGTATGTGAGAACTCTGCACTCTCTGTAATGTTTCTGTGTACCTAAATTGATTTCAAAATAAAATGTTTTTTAAAACTCCAGTTCCTCTGTCACACTAGCTACATTTCAAGTGCTCAATAGCCACAGGGTTGGCTCCTATCATGGACTGCACAGAGATGGAGCAATTGCATCACCGCAGAAAGTTCTAATGGACAGCACCAGTCTCGGAATTGGACTTTATTTGGCATGATTTATTACGGATCAGTCCGAGAGCCTGTGGACTTGTAGAAACTGATGATGCAAATGATTTCTATCGAGTCGAGACGATAACCCCAGAAGTGATAGTTTTATCGACTGTAGGATGTTAGCCAGTTGAAAACTTATCTACCTGAGCGTTTTAGTCCAACATTCATTTCTTCAACAATGACGGAGAGACAGATGAGAGATGTCAGTTTCTTGTATTGTCCCTTGAGCCAGTTGCTTGCTGCTCGATGCCTAAGCTGAAACCCTTGGCACATGCCCTCTCTGTCTGAGGATGAAGTGTTGACAGTTTGTGACTTAGGTTTGGTGGAAAGCAGAGCCTGCCTCCTGCTACTGAAGCTGAAAGGTAACAGGTTTTTTGCCTTCTTTGTAGCGAGGGTGTGGGCATGTGAAAAAACCGTTTCTCCCCTCAGGACACCTCCACACAAAATGCTTGGGGTTTCCACTCTAAGCAAGTCTCCGGTTCTCTGTGGACGCCACCTGGTTGTCCCACAAGTCAACTCAGTTGTGACCCTGGCTGCCCAGGGTTAGTGCAGGCCCCACGGGACTGCCCCCCATCCGCTTCAGACGCCAACCACAAGGGTGGGTCCCCAGGTTACCCACACTTCTGTCCAACGTGGCTACAAAGTTGGGGTTCCCACAACCCCCCTCAGGATCAATAATTGGCTAGAACGGCTCACAGAACTCAGAGAGCCATTTACTTATGTTTCTGGCTTATTATAAAGAATGTGACAAAGGATACAGCGGCACAGCCAGAGGAAGAGGCATAAAGGGGGAGGCCCGGAACGGTCCCGAGGGCAGGAGCTTCTGTCCCCATGGAGTTGGGGTACGCCAGCCTCCTGGCATGTGGATGCACAGAGGAGAAGAGGCAGGGAGGGTGGGGCTGCAAGTTCCAAGCTCCTAACCATGACTTGGTCTTTCTGGTAACCACCCCCATCCTGGAGATATTGGGGAGCCCACCAGGAGTCACCTCATTAGAGCCAAAGATGCTCCCCCATCACTCAGGAAATTCCTAGGGTTTTAAGACCTCTGGGTGAGGCACTGGAGGCTGAGACCAAATCCATACTTTTTATTGTGTCACAATATGTGACCATGACAATACAGTCAGACTGTGGACTAGGGGCTGGTGACATGAAGTAGCAGGGATGGTGGAAAGTTAGTAGTTGCAGGGAGAGGTGGCAATTGCTCCATCTCTGGGGCCACAGGGGCTGAGCCGTTAGTGGCTGCCAACCCCCTGCTCGGGGTCGGGGTCCCATGCATCCTTTCATAAACTCTGTTCTGCTTGGATCAATCAGAGGAGTCATGTTGTTCAGCCGATGGGCCGACCCAGGACCTCCTGGGACGTGGTGGCAGACACACGCTTTCTCCTTTTCTCACCGGAAGTCCACAGTTCTGGAGATGACTCAGTCGCTGGCTGGGGGACTACACCACGGTTCTGACTAAAACCACCTCCTGACTCTTGCTGGGAGAGGAAACCTTTTGAAGCTTTTCATTTATCCTCTCATACTTCCAGCAAATTGACCTACAGCCTCTCAGATGAAAAGGCTTATCTGCTAACCAACCTCCCTACTTCCTTCTTTTGGGGAGAGCGTCCCAAGCTTTGGTCCGGGCTGCAGGGCTGGCTTCATGAGTCTGTGTCCCCGTGCGGTGTCACACTTGTTCTAGTGCTCTGTTGTCATGGTCTTGACATTCTTAATGATTCTCGAACAAGGGGTCCTCCACTTTTATTTTGCACTGGACCCTCCAAATTATTAACAGTTTTCTTGACATCTAATTTATATTGCCTTGAAATTCCCCCACTTCAAGTGGGTTTTTTTTAGTGTAGTCACAGAGTTGTGCTACCACCATCACTATCTAATTCTAGAACATTCCAACACCCCCCAAAATAAACCCTGTCCCCATTAACAGTCACTCTCCTCAGACTGTAGTAACCATTAATCTACTTTTTATTGTTGTGGATTTGCCTCTTCTGGACATTCTATATGAATGGAGTCATATCATAAGTGGCCCTTTGTGTCTGGCTTCTGTCACTCAGCATCATGTTTTCAGGGCTCATCCATGTCGCAGCGAGTGTCAGCAGTTCGTTCCTGTTTACAGTTGAGTAATATGGGATCAGCAGTTTTTCAACAAGCCCCCGAGGCCTGATGGCGCTGGTCCACCTGCTTGGCAACACTGCCCGATGCCTACTTTCCCCATTTCTCAGAAACAAGAACAATTTAAAGGGGAGATGAAGAAAGAGATTGGGGGCAGAAACGTGCCTCTAAATCAAGACCACCTGGCACAACATCATGCGAAAGGAAAACACCCAATTTGTCTTTGCCTTCCTGAAAGCTGCAACATGGGACAGAGATGCCCACGGGGGAGAAAAGCGACGGATCCTGGGCTGGCCGAGTGGCTCAGTTGGTTAAGGGGCTCGCTCAAGAGTTTGAGCTCTGAGCAACAGCGGTTCGAGTCCAGCCTGAGCTGAGCAGCCGCTGAGCTGCCAACAGGTAGCAGGATGGCTCAGCTAAAAAATAATAATAATAATAATTTTTTTCTCTATCTTTCCACTTCCACACACAAAGTCTGGTTTTCAGCTACAAGGATCA